CAACCTCCTTTGGTGGCTCATCAGTCATGGTATTCGTGAACTGTTCAGCAGCGTTCTCGATATCTTTGGCCAATGGAACAACACTGTTTTCGATAAATGCGTCGGTTTTCTTAGCAATATCTGAAGATTCAATGGTCTCAACAACCTCCTTTGGTGGCTCATCAGTCATAGTTTCGGTAAACTGTTCAATGGCATTTACGAAATTCTCAACAACCGGTTTGACTTTGTTTTCAATAAATTTTTCTGCTTTCCTGGTAATTTCAGAAGAACCAAACTTTCCAGCAACTTCATTTGATAGTTCACTTGACGATTCGTTCAAAAGGGTGTCGGTAAACTGCTCAGCGGCATCAGCTATATTGTGAACAGCAGGTTCAAGTTTGTCCTCAATAAAGTCTTCGGCCTGTCTCGTTAAGTTGGATCCCATGTTGCTAATAGCCGTCTCAAAGCCTTCCGCAGTCTCATCAATTGAATCAACGATATCATGTTCCATCTGTTCTGCTGTCTCTATAGCGTGTTTACTTGGTTCTCCTGTAACGGCATCAGTAAACTCCACAACGGCGTCAGCAACGGGTTCAACCTTCTGTTCAACAAACTCCTTGACATTTTCCATAAGCTTATCGCCAGATTCACCAAGTGCTGTATCAAACATTTCTTCAGCTACTTCGTGGACTTTTTCACTGGCGTCATGTTCCATGGTCTCGATCGTATCGATTGTTTTGGCCGGTGGATCCTCAAGCAAAGCCTCTGAAAACTGCTCTGCTGCTTGAACAATTGGCTCTGTAGTTTTATGCATAGATTCTTCAAACTGGTTAATAGGTTTCTCGCCAGTTTCACCCATAGCAGTATCATGACCTCTCTCGTTCAGGAGATCATGGCGTGCGCTTTTTTGAAGTTCCTCGTCAATTTGAACGGGTTCAGCCGTAGTTTCCCCGAGCAACCCATTGGTAAACTGCTCAGCCGCGACTATCGTGTCTGCAACCGACTTTAGTGAGACGGAAGCGACCTCCTCCAACTGGCTCTCAACCATTTGACCGTCTTCTTCGGCCTGTACAGAAGGTTCTCCAACTGATGCCTCTGTGAATTCTTCAACCGCATTTAAGAATCTAGACGTTACACCCACCCCCTTCTCGGTGCCAATTTCGATTTCACTACTATTCGGAACAACACATGGTGTCTGCGTGTCCTCCATACTGGAATTGAAGTCACTATCCACTGCATCTTGGGCATTGAACATCTGGTCCGTGAATTTTCTCAATGCTGATATTAGTCCAGTCTTACTCTCCTCTTGATTCTCCAGCTCAGATGGTGACAGCATTGGAGTATCCTCCATAGGATCATCATCCTTCAGTTCGCTTGTGGAGAAGTCCTGTTCTCCATCAACAGAGTCGAGAGTCTGTGAATCATTCGGTGTTTCACCGTTATCCTTGTCATCGTTGTCTGTTGATTGGACACTCGCCTCAATTACATGTTTCAACTTGGGCGGTATCACTTGAGGCTCTGGCGTCACTGATTTGAGGAATAGGTCAGAGGCATCAGCTAAAGAGAATGAATTATGGTTTTGAGAGTCTGAAGGATTAACGGAGAATGATACGAATGATTCGGAGTACGATTCGTCCTCCTCTCTTTGGTCACTTTGTTTGTCTTGTTCGTCATCCTCGTCGTCGCCGTTTTCGTTGTCATTCTCGTTGCCGTTTTTGTTATCATTCTCGTCGCCGTTTTCATCGCTTCCAGTGTCAAATCTTCTTGGGGAGTTAACGGTTTCTTCTGTTGAGATATACTGCCTTGTGCCCTCAGGCAGGATTTCGGTTGAAGCGTCGCTTCTGGAGTCCAATTTTGAATCGCTTTCCCCATCGATATCCAGCTCTGCTTGGGTTATCCGACCGAAAATACTTGTAGCTGGATCAACAAATGGTTCATCATCAGAATCATAGTACTGTTCTTCCTCGTAATTCTCCTTCACATTTTGATTTTCAATGTAATCTTCGTTCTTTCCCAATGCTTCTTGGTGATCCTCGTCGTGATCAGAAGTTTCATGGCTATTGGGTTCTCCAATAGCAAAGTTATCAACTTGTTGAAGATCCTGATCAAGCTCTTGAATATCATCATGGATTTTTTGATTATCGGTGACGTGTTCGTGGATATCACTAGAGTCATTGTCCTCACCTTCAACCATTTCAATGTCAACATCATCAAGTCCATCATCATTATTTGATGTCACTATCTGTTGGTCATCTGACTGCTTGAAGACTTGGCCCAAAGCAGCTGAAGCAATCACATCAAGTCCAGATAGCTCTCCATTTCGCACAGTGTCTAGCTCATCAGCGGAACTCATGAATTCATTAGCTAATTCCTCGGCTTCCTTGGCTTCAACGACAATTTCATCCAAGTCAATGTCTTCTTTATCTTCATAATCCCCAGATTCATACTCCAAATGTTCATCCTCCAAATGTTCATCCTCCAAATGTTCATCCTCCAAATCAAATTTCTCCGAGTAGAATTCCTCCTGAGAATTAACATACATTTCCCCATCTTCTGGATCTGACTGGTTTTGGGAGTATGCTGATTTGTACTGAGGTGTAATATGGTATTCTTTGGAATCATCAACAAAACTAGCCGGATCGTAGAGGGCCTCCTGTTCTAATTCGTCTTTCTCGCCAGATTCATCCGTGGAGACATCAAGAAACTGTGCATCCTGAGGTAAAATCATATTGCCGTCTGAATCGTACTCGATATCTGAATCTTTAATGTGTTCAACGTATTGAGACAAGTCCTGGTCAAAGCTGTGGGAATTTAGTCTGCTATAGTCTGGCATTTCTTCTTCTGAATCATCTGGAAGTTGATCTGATTCATGTGATTCGATTATTTCATCTTCAACCTCATACTCCACGTCACTTTCTCCATCATCATCAATTTCATGAACCTCCTCGCCGTAATTCTTATCCTCAGCCTTCTCCTCATCCTCCTCTTCTTCCTCTTCCTCTTTCTCCTTCTCCTTCTGGTCCAAAAACTCCTTCAGCCTATCAAAAGCCTCTGTGTGAACTTCATCATGCAATTCAAACTTCTGCTTATCCATTTGCAATTGCTTGTAGAACTGCTTCTCCTCCTCTTGCTCTGTTTGCAAAGCGGTCTTCACCTTGCTCGTCATCGAATGAATCCACCCCACGATATCATCTGATGCTTTTGCGCCAGCCACATGGCTCTTCTCCAAAGACACAGAGCTCGATGACGACCGTCTAACTTTACTATGCGAGGGAGATATCAACCGGCGGAAGGGTGACGCTGCTGACTGGTTCGCAAGATCCCATGTCCTTGTTCTCGAGAGCGGCGACTCAAACCGACGACGTCCACCGAGCGACCTCTGACCGTCCTTGTTAGGAGTCGAGTCTTCACCGTTCTGATAGCCCATCCTCCTCTATGTTGGTGTTCTTCGATTCGCTGGCGGCTGATTTCAACCGTTTATTTTGATCTGCTTTGTGTTTTCGATTTGTTTTGATGTGTTTTCGATTTGTTTTGATTTGCTTTTGTGTGTTGATTTGTTTACAAAAACCTGTGATGGAAAAACAGCATGGAAAGCGAAAGCTCAAAGGGAAACACAACAAAACAGAAAGCCACCACGGCGGCAACCAGTAACGCAAGCACAGAGAGCGTTAGCATCGACCCTTAGATAAAGGTAAAGGTGAAGACGAAGCTGAAGCTGAAGAAGAGGAACGGCAAACCGCCAGTGATATTTCGATGACAGGAGCAGCAGTGCGAGTAGGGTTCTACGACCCATTTACTGTTTACACTGGTGCTTTCAAAGAACAGTTGGAGTCAACCCATCTTACAAATCTGCATTGGAGAGCGGCTTCGAATGACCTGTTGAAATCCATTGCAGAGCTACCTGTTTCATTTGTCGAGGAGACGCCTAAGAGCTTTGACAACAGCATTAGTGGGCCTCTGGTGCTGGACACAGATGAGTCGATTGAACTACAGGTATTGAATCTCACGTCCATTCCATACGTGAGGCTTATCTTTGTTACCGCGGAGGATACTGAATCGTACAGGTCGAAAGTTCGTCCGTTGATCCAAGAATGGAAGAAGTCGTGCGTTGAAAAGGCACACGGACCGGTGGATTGGTATGTGGTGTACGTTGGTGATGAGTCGAAGGCAGCCTCAAAGCTGTACGATAAGCTGAAGACCGATTTTGAAACTGAAACGGATAAGAGATGCTACCGCCTAAAGGTCAACTCGAATGAGCTCGAGCTTCAAACGATGATTTCTCACAAGCTGAAAGAGAGCATATTGGCCATCTTCACTACTAGATTACAACTGTTGAATGCGGCACTGCAGAAGATCAAATCGAGTGATCTGAAGAATGAGTTCAAGTCGTTCGTCGTTGTGAAAGAGGCAATTGCATCTCAATTCTTGGCTATGAACTTGTATGAAGAAGCGCTCGAACAGTATGACCTTCTAATGTCCTCTCTGGACGAGTATCAAGAAGAAGTGTATGGTCCACAAACTTGGGAATTCAAATACTTGAATACCGTTGAAAACTGTATGAAGAAGGATGTTTTGTTCGAACCTAACGGTGCTGATGTATCTTTGTTTGAATTGAAATCGTTCATATTTACTAGAATATTCAAGGCATTTGAAGCGCTGGCTGACACATCACCGTCGCTTTCGTTGGCATCGATCCATATAGCTGAACTATTGAGGAGATTACAAACGTTTTTGGCAGACTGTGCCAAAGACTTCGAAAATGGCGAAAACTTATTCCAGGTGCAAGAATGGGAGTACAAAATAATCGAAGAAGTTATGAGCTTGGACATGTGCTCAAAACTTTTGCTAAATGATGATCCCGACACGGATACTTCCCCGTTTACAGAAAGATCGGGTGAAACTTTGCTCTTGCAAAGATCACTTTTGCTGAAACTCGGACAAGCTTATGATTATTATATCAATGGAGTACTTACAGACATAACGCTTTCAGGACCGCATGATTCGACAACGCTCAGCTATCTTCCTCTGAAACCTATTTTTGAATCAAAGAAGGAATTTCAAGAACAGTTTGTTAAATTCACAGAGGCAGCAATCAAGTATTTTAACATGTGTGATCGTCCACGGTCAGTTGATACACTATCCATTGACATTGCCCTGTTGGATTATCAGAATGAAGAGTACGAGAAGGCTGCCGTGGTTTTGTCAACATGTCCAGAATTCTATGGCGGTCAAGGGTGGAAGCTCATTAGTATAACGCTTCTGGAAGCATACATTGGATGCCTTGAGAAAATCGATGAATCGTGTGAATTGTTTTCCGTTGAAGGGCAACCTTCAAGGGAAGACCAACTTCTACAGAGTTTTATCAACGTCTTAAAACTAGCAAAGGAAAACAAGTTTGCATTTGCAAAGGGATTGATTTCCAAAGCAGTGAACTACATCGTTTCATCTACTAAACATCGGCCGTTGGACTTGAATGACTTCTTTCCCTTAGAAGCATCATCATATGTTAGACCTTCGAAAAGTGATACATATGAATTATCGGTGACAATCACGAATCCCTACCCTGTGGCCATTCCTCTAACCTCACTGCAACTTGATGTAGAAAACATGGAAGGTGATTTTGTTAGGTTCAACCGTGACAGGATTGTATTGGAAACAGGTGTAAACAATTTGAAGTTGTCTTCATCTGTGATCCAAAGTGGTACATTTACATTATCTTTGTTCAGAGCGAATATGGGCTTCTGTGAACTCTCGCATATCTTTCAAAAAATTGAGAAAGCTGAAGTTTATATCATCGAAACAACAGATATGTTTTCATTGGCTATTGAAAACTCTTCTGAGGTTGACCTGGGGTCGAGACCAGTGTCTGTCATTCTCAAGACAAATGAAACAATCGATAATATTCGTCTTCGTGTATACAGATCATCAGAAGCTTTTGAGATTCATGAAAATTGCAAAATCAAACGATCATCTGGTTCCTACATTGACGAGTTCGAAATGGAAGAAAACTGCCTTGTTATCCCCAGATTAGAGGGACCTGAAGAGTATGAAATTATTATTCCTTACTCTACAATCATAAGTCCAAAGGACACTGTTATTGAACTATATGCATCTGCTTCATATGAAGCTCAAGGAGAAAAGCGTGGTTTCAAAACTAAAGACTTCATCGAAACTGCCTTGAGCATTGGAGTATCTGTCCAGGATATATTCAAAATCAATTGTCTCTATTGTAAGTTTTCGATTGGTACTTCTATTCCAGAACATCCACTTCGAATCATATCTGCAAATTTGGAGCCCAATGAACGATACAGTGTCAGTTCACCTTTGAGTCCTGGTCCTTTAGTTGCATTTGGTGAGCAACCTGTCAATTACTTTTGTCAGATCCGTGAAAATGAGGACAATACTACTGAATCCAGTAGATATTTAAAGTTGAAAGTGCATTACAGAGAACTAAAGAGTGAGGCCAAACAGTTCTGGAAATACCATCTATTCAAAGAATTGAGGAAATGCTCCTTGGACCAATATCTTCCACTGTTACTCAAGTGTTCTGAAACTCTGGACGTTGATTATAATGAATTTATTTACAACAAGGTTCTATGTACCAATACTCCAAACGACTACCATCAAAGATATTTCAAAGCTATTCCTCCAGAGGATCGTCTCAAAGTGTTTGAAATCTTTTCAACAAACTTGAATTCAAAGATTAAAGTTGAAAATGATTTCCACTACAAGGAGAACCAGCTTGTCATCAACGTTTTGATTCCAGTATCTGAAGTTGTGCACAATGTGGAAATAAAACTTCACGATGATACCAACTGCGTTGTCATTGGACAGACTTTATCCGCATCGTTGCGGGTCACGTCTGTTGTCAAGGCCAATGATAAGAAACTTGAATCTAATGGTAAAAAACGGGTCCAATTCCACGGTGAACAATTTGCACTCAACAAGTTCTCTGTTGAATTGGCGAATGCCCAAGACAACTGGCTGGTCAATGGTAAGACACGGTTTGTGATTGAACTGGACAAATCTTCAAAGGGTGTCTATGAATTCCCAGAGGTGAATATTACATTGATTCCTTTGAAAGTAGGCAGACTTCCACTACCTAGGGTTAAGGTTGAAGGTATCAACTCCAGTAACAAGAGCGAAGCCCTGATGGAGGTGGACTACAAGAATGAGAGTGAAACTATCTATGTTATCTCTGAAAATGATGTATAAGTTCTGAGAGTTCTTCTATTGTATAGACTCTACACTAAATGATTTTATGCCCATTAACAAAGAAGATGCTTCAGGCTTTTCCGAGACAAGGTTTGGTTTGATTCCATTGTCTAAGAGGTAGGTTTCTGTTGTTGGACCGATAGATGCAATTTTGAAAGCGTCTCGAAGAGGAGACACCTTCAGGAACTCAACGATATCCTGGGTACCTTGAGGACTGAAGAAGATTATCCATTTAGGATGGAGCTGGTTGAACGCCTGTGTAAACCTTTCCACGATTTGTGGTTTTTCAACTGTTCTGTAGATAACAACTTCTTTCAAGTTGTAACCCTTTGAAAGCAATTTACGTGGGATAATATCACGCCTCGTCTCACCTGTGAAGAACGTCACCTTTTGATGTGGTTCCAAGTCTTTGAGGATGATCTCTGATAGGATCGCACCGTTACCAGCGTTATCGCCTCCTCCCAGCTTTGTGAAGCCCAGAGCCTCGAGGACTTTCTGAGTCGCTGGACCAACAGTAAACGCCTTTTTCGAGAGGATTCTGGATCTCTGCTCCTGCGATATCTTCTCCATAGCATCTGACAATGCCTCAACGGCTCTCTGTGAGGTGATGATCAACGCATCTGTTTCCTTTATGAACTCGTCTGACGTCAGATAAGACGTTATGAAGGAACTCTCAGCGTGAATGTGTTCGAGCAGCGGGATAAACTGTGTCAGGAACCCGCACTCTGTGAAGACCTCTTCGTACAGATCTCTCGGAACTGTTTGATTCTTCAGAAACAATACGCTGCTTTCGTCTATCATCACTTCTATGGCCGGCTTCTAAAAAGAGAGCAAAACAGTATCTAAAAAACCCGTTGGCGATGACCTTCTCGAAAGATTTGATTCGTTCCTATTGTTGTGTGCGTGTACCGGTAGATGTGACCCGTAACAATACACCAGGAGCATCTCTGAACCCTCGTCCATTAACCTGAATATATTTTGTTTTTAACAAATTGGTTTCGTGGTCTAGTTGGTCATGGCATCTGCTTAACACGCAGAACGTCCCCAGTTCGATCCTGGGCGAAATCATTTGTTTTTTTTTATTTGAAAAAACAAGCTATGGCAACTCATCCAATGATTACAGTATCAATTACCGTGGAAATACACGCATACACCCAACCATGGCCCCCATGGTTCTACACAGAATGGGAGAGGAAGAACATAAAAGAGAAGCACATCCCATTCCACTTCTATTGTTGATAGTTAGCTGTTATCTGATACCTGCTGGGTCACGTGCCATGGTTGTCATGGAGATTGATCAAGAACGGTTTGTTTACATTTTGCGCGGTTTTCAAATTTTATGTGTTGTGCTTTATTTGTTGTTGCTCTTATTGTTGTTGTCAACCTGCTACAACATTGAGAGACTGAAAGCCCGTACAGGCTCGTGAGAATTGACCAATAGTCCACGTGCAAACCACACACTCTCGCTATGGACCTCACCAAGCTGCTGAACAGAGAAGAATCTCAACAGGTGAAGAGACGGCCGCTTGGATCGTTGAGTACCAACGAATCGACAAGCAGAGGGCTCAAGAATGATTCACAACCGAGGATGCCCGTCAGATTGGTTAGGCTGGACAAGGAGAATGATGTTCCAGCGTCTCTCAAGAAGGCTATAACGCTCCCTCCAATATCACAGGTCACAAAGAATATCCGGATGCCGGGGCCTCAGTTCCCTGAGGTGCCGACTGGTCCAAGGCAAAGTTCAAGTGGCGGTCCACTACACTTCAACAAGAGCAGTTCTGTAACGAACCGTACTACGAGTGGATACCTCTACAGTGTTCAGAATTCCAAGAATAGCTCCGATGCGCAGTTCTTCAAGATCAACTCGTCCGGTGATTTCCAGAAGTTCAAGACAAAGCCTAGTGCCTCTACCCCGGTTAAACAGCAGGAGGGCACCGTTGTGCCGTTGTCTTCTTCCAAGAAAGCTCACAAGCTCGGTTCAAAGACTTCACCGGATAAACCTTCCAAACGTAACATCATTTGGTGCAATGAGGCTAGTCTGATTGCGGCACAAGAATTCAAAAAGATCTACCAGCGTAAGGGAAGTTCCTCATTTTTGAAAAAAGAGTATCAAATGGTTGCCCAAGTGTTGAATACCAAGCTGTCCACTGATAAGTACACTGAGACTGCAGTGAGGAATAGGAAAGGGCTGTTTCAATCGCTTTCCTCTATTTACGTCTATCTCAAGGAGACCCCTCAATTGAACAAATTTGACGACAAATACGTTCCACAGTTGACCCAGGAACAATGGCGCCACCTTAGTAATGAGTTTGAACCTTCATACGTACGGAAATACCGTGCCAAAAGCGATAATACTGATATCCATATCACGCATGACATGTTCAAGAAGAAATCCATAAGGGTGGAGAACATACGGCATTTAAACGTGGAACAATCGCTCAAAGGCGTTTGTCAAATACTGCTAATGAACAAGGAGATCACTCCTTTAAGGGCAATGGCCCTAGAGCTGTTTGATAGAGACCATCAGGAGTTGAACTTGGGCTCGACTTTACTATCAATGAAGCACGAAGAAGTGGTCAAGTTTGTTTATACCAAGGTGGATCTTTCTATCTACGAGGAGCATCTAAAAGCTCAACAACTACTGTGCAGTGTAAAGAGATAGGATATGGACAAAAGGAAAGGGCAACCAAGGGGGGGGGGAGCATGACAGATACGCTGACTTATCATAATGAATTGAAACGAATACATACTTACATATAAAACAGGCTTTCGTAGTGGATGTCATGACGTATTCGCAATCGCAAATCCTCAAGAGCGAGATGCCTTCCAGTCATTCACAACGTTGACAATAAGCAACGACACCGTATCTTTCCATCTTACAGAAGCAGTGAAAGAGCCGAGACTCGCCTTTTCTCTCCTGTAAGATTGTATAGATCTGCGTGCATGACTGCCAATGTCTACTACGCACTGGACAGTGTACAAGGCCTAAGCAGTTCGGCGTAACGTAGTGAGTGAAGCCCACTTTCAGCCCTGGGATTAACGTGGTAAGAGGCCAACACGAAAAGCTTTATCAGCAAATGTTGTGAGTTCCCCCATGTCATCATCAGCGAGTATCAAAACTCATTCAGAACTTTGGTCTCCAACACTGGTTCTAAATTTGGGCAACGCCGTATAATAAGCGCATGTTATCTCTAAACTTCCACCAAAACGCAGATCAACACTTCTACATGCGTCAAGGCCGGTGAGTAATATTTATTAGCAGCAGAGGAGTTGTGATCTCCGGGAAGTGGGAACAGGGGGGACTGCCGTATAGGGAGGGTCATGTTGGGTATAAAAGGGGCAAGATATCTATACATTGGTCATATTGGGGTTGTTTCCTCTCTGTTTCAGTATCAATCAATGTTTAAGTGATTATCGACTGAAATTGGATTTATGATTCGATATCGAAAGACACGTTTACAAACTACTGATCCCCCCAGCTCAAACTCATTCGATGTCCGACATGCCTTGCACCTATTAAGCAAACGAGACGACTCGGACTCTTCTACTACCACTACTACTACTACTGCTACTACTGCTACTGCTACCCCCTCTTCTACGAAATACTTAGGTATTGGCGTGGCTATTGGTGCACTCTTACTATGCTTTGCTCTAGGCTTCCTATTCTACAGGTACAGGCGAAAAAAGGCTGTTGAAGCTAAAGTATACGCCGAGCGTAATCAACAACGTCGAGAACAAGAACGGTATTATCGTACAGTGGACACAGATCTGCCCTTATACACTGAGGAGAACTACGCAGATCCTTCTCTACCAAAGTACGATAATGTCGTTGTCACTGTCAATGACATTGCCACTCCAACCAGTATCCAACGCCCAGAGACAGCTCACATGCATCATGGAAGAAATGGTGACAGTTCTACAATGACACACATTGACCTGAGCAGAATTGTGTGAATTGTCATTATACCTCCCCGGTGAATTTGTCTGTTTTGTCTTGTTTCATCTCATCGCACATGATGGTATCAACTGTAAAGGGCCTCTTCTATAATTGGAGAGGCCATGGTCTAAGACTAAACACTCGAGGTGTCAATCTGTACATCCTCTTGGTTTACGAGACGATTTATACAACGCCCAATGTTGCTTTTTATGATTCATTGAACCTACAACACTGGTGCCAACCAATACGTTTATACTATATGCAAATGAAATATGACAGACATACATTTTAAGATTGATTATGTAGTAGTTTATATGGAGTGTGATAAACTAGGTTACAAAAAGGAGTAGTTTCATTCTCTTATTGGGGATCTGGATCTGTCACGGTTGCGATCATCTTCATGGACATCGCCTGTAGAATTTCTTCTGGAGCCAGGGTCTTGATCTTCGGTTCTTTCGTCACCTCTGTCGTCACCTCTGTCGTCTCTTCTGGTGTATGAATCACTTCTGTTATCCTTTCTGGACTCGTCCCTTCTGTAATAGTCTCTTCTGTCGTCTCTTCTGTAGTCATCCCTTCTGTAAGCATCCCTTCTGTAAGCATCCCTTCTCTCATCTCTTCTGTAGTCATCTCTTGATCTGTAGTCATCTCTTGATCTGTAATCATCTCTTGATCTGTAATCATCTCTAGATCTGTAGTCATCTCTTGATCTGTAATCATCTCTGTAATCCCTTGAGCTTTCTCTTCTGTCATCAAAGCCTCTGTAATCTCTTGGCTCCCCTCTTCTATCGTCCCTGAAATCTCCTGGGCCTCCTCTTCTGTCGTCATAACGGTCATAGTCCCTTCTATCGTCATAACGTCCATAGTCCCTTCTTGGTGGATAATCTCTGTAACCACCTCTTCTATAATCGTCATCATAACGACGACGTGGACCTCCATAGCGTCTTGGTGGGTGTGGTTCAGATTTGGCCCATTCAATCTTTAAGGTGTCTGCTGCACTATCGGATCCTTGGTCCATTTCATCACCATCGGCATCGGTGGTTTCAGTAACAGCGCTCATAGGCTTCCCGTTCAGCTCTGCAAGTGCAGCCTCACCATCTTTGTACTCTTTGTACTCCACAAAGGCGTAAGGAGGGAATCTTATAGATTTTGTTGGAGGAAGATCAATTCTTTCCACTGGTCCAAATCTGAAAAGGTAAAACGGTAGCAGTGTCAATATGTTGTTCTTTTGTTGAATATGTGTGTGATTTTGACGTAGCCTTTTTGATCTATCTTGAATCGACTCGGTCATTCAATCATTCTTCTGTCTTGTCTTGTCTTTTATCATCTGTTCATTGCCCTGTGATGTGCTTAGAGAAATGCATGTTGATGTTGAGATGCTTGAATGATATATACAATGATGGAATAGGAATTAAGCAAAGAAAAGGGGAAAGAGATAAGTGGTAAGAAATAGAAGTGTGCTCCCATTTGCTAAAGTGCATTGACCTCCTGTGAATCAATTGATTTGTTCTGAAAGTGTGAACTAGTCGTATGTTAATCACAGATAAGGAAGAAAGAAAGAGAGAAAACATCAACAGTAAAGAGAAAGAGAAAAATCAACAGTAGAGAAAGAAAGAGAATACCATCACAGCAAAGACAAGAGATAAAGCAAAAGTAGACAAGAAGGTGGAATCAACGTTCATCGTCTTCACAACAAGATCAGTTCTAATTAATACTCACTTTTCAAAGATTGGAGCCAAATCCTTCGCCTTGGTATCTCTGCTGAAGCCTTTTTAAAGAATCAAACGTGTTAGTAACCATTGACCAAATGCACTGAATCGGAAGCTGAACTCACCAGAGACGTAAAGAGTGTTTTGATAACCCATTTGGATCAGCTTCGTTAGGAAATTGCTGCTGAAGTCGAAGTTGTTGGAAACAACAACAACAACAAAGAAACAAAAAAAAAGTGAAGTTCAACGAAGTGGGAGGAACACAGAAATGTCCGGGTGTGCGATTTTAGTGGTTGAAAAACTCATGTCTGAGTAGGGTAACTGAAGTGTGTTACCCTACGTTAAGCATCTTCCCTCACCCCGCACCACATGACGTAATTGATTATGTAATCGTAACATTGCAGCGCTTTTCTATCAAGGATGAAGTAACAAGCATTTCCCTACGGCGTCTCAAGTTTATAGCAAAGACCATTCTCACCACCAATTGAGGGCCCTAGATCATTTCCGAGTCACGAGCTAGAACCACCACCCCCTAGCCTGTGTGTGTGTTATTTTTCGCTCTCGCCAACCCATCCGCGTCCCGTAACCGGTTCTTTCCGTTCAGAATTGTCCACCAGGAGGTGGCTTTCTTGTCTAAAGAATACGGATTGTTTACAGTGTTGGTGCCAAACTTCTACGGCCAATCGGGCTATATACGCTAACAATGTAGAAACAATGTAGAAACAATAGGGATGGCATTTCAAAGTGTTTAGCTGAATACACTGCCCCTCCTCCTTGTTCGCCTTTGCTTCCATCTCTTTGTTCCTGTGCTTCTGCCTACAACATTTCCCACACACTTCCCTTCAGAGTTCCTTGGTGCAGTTCTTCGCGTAAACTCGAAAGCTAAAAGGAAACCCAAAAGGAAACCCAAAAGGAAAACACACAGCAGGTTTCAGAATAGGCTTCAAGCGCTGAGCGTGCCCAATATTATTTGGTTGGAGCAGCACACCTTGTCTGCCGTCTCCTCTTTTCTGTGGGTTTTTTGGCCGCTTCGCCACTAAAAAACTCGTGAGGCCAAGGCGGGCTCGCTAATTTTTTCTTCCTTGTGGCTCTGTGTAACAACTCAGCGGTACACAGAAAGCGCAAAAATTTTTTCTCCCTCTCTGTAGTTTTGGTGTGAGTTTCTAGGCCAAAGTTCTGGAAAAGGGGAAATAAAACAAGGGAACCAATCAACGAGGAAACTTAATAAGGGAAAAGGTCAAAAGAAGCCACAAAAACATCAAAACAAAACAAAAAGCGATAAAGTAAACAAAGAACACAGCGATAGCTTATTAGATTGGAACGTTCGTTAGCGGTGTATATATTCTTCTATTAGTGATTGTTACAACGCAGCTCGACTACACACCCAACAGGCGCTAAGCAATGTCAGTTCAATTTGACGAGTTCCCACCGCACTTGGAGCAGAATCAGGAGTCGAGCTCCTCGACAAGTGATAACGTTGATGTATTGGATGAGTTCCTCGACAGACGGTTGTACGATGATGCATATGTGAAGAACCAACAACAGCAACAAGGGCAACAACAGCCTGGGCAGCAACAAGGACAGCAAGTGCATGAGGTTTACCAAAGAGAGGCGGCGGATCAGCACATGGTTCACAATGACGATCTGTTTCAGGAGTTCCTGGTGGACGACATGGCCAGCAGCGGTGGAGACTTCATCTTCTCAGCGGTGGATGCTCAGGGACACGACATGAACTCGTTTGATCTGGGCGATGCCGCCACGGCCACAACGCTGCTACCGTTTGTTGAACCGTCATCGGCGGTTAGCAATGGCAATGGCAATGGCAATGGCAACAAGGAGCAGGCTCATATGTTTTCAAAGGACATTACCGCCGCAAGCCCTACGAATCTAACAGCCACAACGCCAGTCTCCATCGATATGTCACCACCGGGTTCAACCACTTCGAACAACGAGGTTTTTACAACACCAACGTCACTTCCAAATGAAACAGGCGGATCTATGGCGGAGCACTCTGTGAGTACACAGAATGAATCACACAGACAACAACAACAACAGACTGTTTCCTCCTCTATATCATCTCCATATGAAGCTGCGAGAAACATTCTATCTGGCTTGAAATTTGGTAGGGAAGTTCCACCTCAGTTCGACAACGAATTCCCAAAGCACTACCTTGGTGTGAACGAGGAAACGTTGCCTTACAGATTAACACTGGAGAATCTCCCCTCTTGTTCTAGAGTAGAAACCCAAATCAAGCTGGAGCTGAAAATCTCACCGCCTCCACAACAATTTTTGGTTCATTTGCCGTCAGATACAATTGCCAAACAGAAACTATGTCTATCTTCGGAGTTGGATCAAGATGCAAAAGATCAGATGCTGTTCCTCGATACTTATGTGTTGACATCCGATGATAAGCCTTGTAACATTTGCACCAAGTGTATTAGAAGAGAACAGAAGAGAGCATCAAGAAGAAAATCTGGTGTTAGCGATAACATGAGTTGGATGACCAATACTCATAAGAGGGCGATTATATTCAATTGTAAAGAGGTGATATCATTCCCTGCAACCCCAATAAATGGGTCAAGTTCGGTGGGGTTGTCGTCAAGAATTGTTTGCTATTGCAGACATCATAACGAGCCGACAGGGTTCAAACTCTTGTTGCTATTGAGGGATTCAAAGGGGAACTTGGTTGCAAAGCATTTGAGTAGTCCAATAATGATTATGGATAGAAAGAAATCCGGGGACGATGGGTCCTCAAATGCTCAGTTGTCAAATACTGCATCAAATTCTGCAAATGAGGGCAGTTCTATCTTGTTACCACGTTCTGGAACTCAACATCCAATCTCACCAACATCAATTGAGGATGATAGCTCCGAAGCAATTGCATCGTCGGACTACAACAGGGCGACTAAAAGAAAGAAAACGTGGTCACCAGAGTTATCTGATGGCTTCAGCATTGCCCCTTCAAGAACTCATTCAACCGCTATCAAGAGAGAAAGTATTACGCATACGTCACGCTCTTCGTTGGATATGTCTGCACAGCATCAGCCTGTTCAACCGCTTCAACCTGTACTGCCGTATACCTTGTCTACGCAATCTTTGCAACAACAACTACAACAACAGCAGCAACAACAACAACAACAAAACGTACCAATCATCCAAAAGGTTATTCCAGCTCAAGGGCCATTGCGTGGTGGTATCGAAGTAACTTTGCTAGGTCAGAACTTCAAGGATGGTTTGGTTGTCAAATTTGGTCCAAACAAGGCATTGGCAACACAGTGGTGGAGCGCAACAACTATGGTTACCTATTTACCACCAGCTCCACAGGCTGGACAAGTCATTGTTACGGTTGAGGATTTACAAACAAACCAAAAGACAGGCTCTACTGTGTTTACATACGTTGATGATACAGATCGTCAAATGATTGAGTTGGCTCTTCAAATTGTTGGTTTGAAGATGAACGGTAAGCTTGAAGATGCCCGTAACATTGCACGTAAGATTATTGGTTCTGATGGTTCTGGTAATAACAATGGTGATGAGAGTGGCACGTCTAGTCAACAAGATACCCCAATGACTGGATACTCGTTACAATATGATAGTGATGAGGATTTGATTTTGAAAGTTATCAATATGCTTCCAAACAGACCAAATTGGTCCCTGTGTACCGCTGAGGGACAAACCTTGTTACACTTGTCCTCTTTGAAGAGTTATAACAGATTAGTTTCTTGTCTTTTACAAAAAGGCGCAAGAGTTGATTCAAAGGACGTTATGGGTTATACTCCACTACATTATGCAGCATTGGCTGGTAACCGTGTTTCGATTGAGATGTTGTTGAACTGCAAAGCAAAGATTGATGCTAAGACGGATAACGGTCTTACTCCTGAGGACGTTGCCGATGCAAACGTCTTGGATCTGTTCAAATATCATAACTCTTTGATTTCGAGAAAGTTTTCGAGTACTTCAATATCGTCATCAATTTTCTCCATCGACGACGATCAAATCGATATTCAAGGAGGCTCTCATGTCTCAAGAATGACAACTGATGGGTTGACTGATGATGACTACGAGTCCGACTACGACGAGGATTCTGATGAATCCTCTGCTGATGCTTCAAACGAAGAGAGTGAAAACGACTTTGCCGATAATGAAGGTGATTCTGTTGAAAACCTTCCTGCTGGTTCTTCTAATGAAGTTACAGGAACTGGCTCCAGTCAAAATGGATCCCTGTGGAACAAAGTGCGTAACGTTTTCCAAAATGCTGGTGACGCAGATGATCTTCCACGCTATGATGATCTTTTCCCAATCGGTGGTCAATTCAGTTTGACAAAACTACGGTTCTCTTCAACAACAACTGCACCTGCAACGATATCCAATGAGGCCACTGAGGATAACGGTTCATCAGCACAAGAAACCTCAAGTGACGAAAGCGAAGACGTTTTCATGAAGTTCTTCAACCAACGTAAGAACGTGCAAAACGATAAGATGTTACTATTCTTCTGGTTGCCGTTGTTGTTTGTCATCATGTCTACATTTATTCTCCACAGTACTGGTTACACCACTGGGTTAACAACACAGTTCCAGGACTTTATGAGGGACAGCGTAAGTAAGATCATGTTGGGCAATGAACGTGTGAAGGTTGCATTAAACAAGCACTTTTCACAGGGATACCATGCAGTGACAAGTGCGATAAACGCATGAATCATTCTGTGTTTCTATGCTTCATGGTTATTTCTATGTTTTCCTGGATACCTTTCCTTATATCATTGTGTGTATGTGTGTGTTTTTCTTTGCCTGCTCAAATGTGGCACACTTTGCTTTCTCTATTTATGACGTCCTAATGGGATACCAACGGCTATCGTTTTTCTAATCTTCGTTCAATTTTGGGTAGTTTTGATTTAATTTTCTTTTTTGCTAATGAATTTTATTCTCTTTGCTTATATGTTTTGCTTCGTTTTTGCTCATTGCACTTTAAACCCAGTTTCTGTAGCTAACAAAAACAGAAATTTGATAATTGGCATAGTTGAAAATTTTCGATAGCTCATCTCATCGCACAGACCAATTGTTTAACCAAGTTGGAAACAAATCGAAAAGATGGCTAACAAAGTGAAACTTCAAGAGAAGAATGAGCCTGTGATAAAGCCAACGATTATCCAGGAAAGCACTGTTTCCTCTGGAGCTACACAGTTCCGTATATACGTTGGTTCCTACGAACACAACTTGTTATGTCTTTCTCTGATTCTTGAGAAGGAAAAGACTCCAGTTTTCCAGCCTATCTTCCATTTCCAAGCACATTCCCTCTCCATCAAGGCAATTGCAGCAGCTAAGAGATACCTTGTTACTGGCTCCAACGATGAGCACATCAGAATCTACGATCTTCAAAAGAGAAAAGAATTGGGGACCCTGTTGGGACACCAAGGCACGATCACATGTTTGAAGTTTTCATCAGAGGGGCATAAAGAAGGTGAAACCGCCACAGGAACATCGGGCAAGTGGATGCTTTCCGGTTCTGAAGACGGTAAGGTTATTATTTGGCGTACCAAGGATTGGGAGCTGTTTGGGACGTTGAAAGGACATCAAGGCCGAGTAAACGATTTGGCTATCCACCCAAGTGGTAGAATTGCCGTGAGTGTTGGAGATGATAGAACTATTAGACTTTGGAACTTGATGACTGTGAAGAAGGCTGCCAATTTAAAGATCAAAAATGACTGGCAAAAGGGTGAGTGTGTGAGATGGTCACTGAATGGTGATTATTTCCTTGTCGGTTTATTGACAAAAGTGCTTATTTATAACACTTCAGACGCTCAGATAGTCAAGGAGCTCTCGTTCAAGACACCGCTCATGCATCTGGAAGTTCGTCAAATTGACAATACTGAGTACGTTGTCGTTGGATTGGGTAGCGGTGTATTGGAATTTTACAAGTTGACTGACCTCATTGGGAAGGAGGACATCGTTGAACCTGCGTTTAAACTCCATGGACACACCAAGAGAGTCAAAGACTTCAAGTTCTTTGAAACCAACGGACAATTATATCTCGTTTCTATTTCATCAGATGGATCCATTGTGGTGTGGGACATGGCTATCAAGGACCAGGTTGCAGTCTACACCACTGGTGAAAGACTCAACTGTCTTGAAGTTACCGATGAGACTGTCGAAAAGGCTGAGACCATGAAGAGAAGACGTGATGAGTTGGATGAAGCAGAAGCTAGCGCAAGTGAAAGCGAGAATGAAGACACTGAGGAGTTGAAAAGAATAATGATGAACGATAGAAGAAAAAAGAAGAAGAAAGGTAAGAAGAAAGTGGAAAAGATCTCTGTTGAATTGGAGTAGTCCAATACCAGCACTACTATTTCATTAAAAGAAAATAAACATCACCGTATAGGAATAGCATCTATGTAAAGCTGATCGTGTTATACAAAGAAGGAAAGATACACTCAATGACCTGTTCCACCTTCACAGTTTCTGATCTCTGTTCAAACGCTTAACGTGATGTCTGTACAGCTTCTCGGCCTTGACCCATACGTTAGCGGTGTCTCTGTTTGGCAATTGCAACAAAGATGGCAAAAGATCCTTGGAGAAGAACTCCGATGCCTCTCTTGGAAGCAAAGATGGCAAATGGTCGATTGAAATGACAGAGAGTTTAGGACCGGACTTGGTCTTGACAACAACCGTTGGCTTATCAAAGACTGTGGCGATTGTGTAGATTGGAATTGGGTTATGTGGGTTAGTTGTGTCAGCAGAAACGTCAACAACGGTTCTGAGCTTTCTTCCTGGTGCGTTCAGGGTCTTGTAGTCGATGAATGGAGCAATTGGCTTAGAAAGGTAGATACAGTTGATAAAGATATCAGCCTCGGCAATCTCCTTGAATGGGCCACCCTTGGCAGTTTCCTTCATATCCCACTTGATGATGTTTTCATCTGGAATGCCAACTTTGGTCAAGAAGTCAACGGCACCGGAACCACAACGTCCCAGTGCACCAATGATAAGAACTCTTGGTTTCTTTGCGCCCTTAGCAAGTGCACTCTTCAAGTCCTTCTTGACGTCCTCAACCAGGGCACTTTCACTGCTGTATGGGGTAACACCACCAAGCTCCTCAGAGTCGGCGTGGGTGTTCTTGAAGGCCCAGTCCTTGACTCCCAAAGCAGCACCGGCGAAGCCGGCGTAGAAGCCAAACGCAGCCACTCTTCTACCCTGGTCGTTCTCCAAGAACTCCAGGTCGTATAGCTTACCGTTCCCTCTGGCATAGCGGCTCAGCACCTCTTGCCATCCCCCCTGGTCCTTGTAACAATGCGCAAACTGGATGTGTTCGTGGATAAGAGGGAAGGTGTCCTTCTCCGGCAGCTCCTTCAACCCAATGATGAGACGGTCTGCTGGCGCACGGACCCACGACCCGGCTGGCACAATCTTCGCACCAACCTTGGCGTATTCCTCAGCTTTGAAGGCGCTCTGTGGAGAGTCCTCCACGTAAACTGTGAACCCAGCTTGGATCAGCTGCTTGGTGGTGGTCGGCGTGAGAGCAGCACGGGCCTCCAATGGCTTGGTCTCGGCTCTCAGGTGTAGCGTAACAGGTTTACCAGACATAGCTTAGTACTGAATTGGTCTTTCCACGAGATGAAAAGCGAATAGAATAACTGCAAATTTGAGGCAAGTTGAAGGGAATGGAAAGAAAAAAAGAGTATAATCCCAGATTTTAAATACGCTTGAGAACTTTTTCCTGGGCCATATCAATGGATGATTGATGACTCTACGGTGCATCCCTGCAACCACCAGCCATAAAGAAGAAAAAAAAAACTGAGCGGGACCGGTAAAGGCGCCGGAAATAGGCGTGGCGACAAGTGCAAAACGAGTTCGCGGGATCGGAAAAATATACGTTTTGCCATCGGAATTGGGATGAGTTTTGTTACGTAATCAGTGCCGTGGTGCTTATGTAAGCAATGTTTTGGTTTCGCATCAGCGCTTGATGTGTTGATGTTGATGTCGTTGATGTTGTTGTTGATGTTGTTGTTGTTGTTTACCTGCGTAGCATCAAGCAGAAACTCCCTCTCACCGCTCGCTTACACACGGCTCACAGATGGAGACACCCTCACAGCACAGCTCCACGCTGGCCATCTCGCCGCTCATCGGCAACAGAACACACGACACCATACGATCAACGCCAAAGGAAGCCAACATCAGCCAACAGAGCAGCCTTCACAACTCGAGCTACAACCTGACGCCTGGGAACGTTGGCAACATCTCGGATGTGTCTGCTGCGGATAGATTGCGTCTATGGCGCCACGACGCCCTGATGCAGCACCATTACAAGACCGCGGAGTACATTGGCGACAAGGTGTTGACGTTGACCAATGACCCGAATGATGCCTTCTGGTTGGCTCAGGTTTACTACAACAACGGCGATTACTACAGGGCGCGTCAGCTACTGTCGAGGCAAAGGCTGGACACCACGAGCGTCTCGTGCCGCTATTTGGCGGCGCTGTGTCTGATGAAGATGGAACAGTGGGACGAAGCACTGGACATTGTCGGTGAAACAAACCCTTTTAGAAATGCGTCGCACAAGGCACAGAATACCGATGGTGGCATCAAATGGGAGGCCTCGTTGTGCTTCATCCGTGGAGAGATCTACGCGAATCAGAACAACCTGGAAAGGGCCAAGGAGTGCTATACAGAAGCCATCTTGGTGGATGTGAAGTGCTACGAGGCGTTTGACGAGCTCGTAAGGAATGACATGTTGAAGCCTCAAGAGGAGTGGGAGTTGTTGATGCAGTTAGACTTCTCAGAGCTTGGAGATAACGACGAATTCATCCATCAGTTGTACGTCACTAGGCTGAACAAGTACATCAACCAGAAGAACCAGGAGAATGCACATTTCATCTTGAAAGAGGAATATTCAATGACAAACAACTCAGACGTCATTGTCAGTAGAGCTGAAACGCTATACGTCCAGTGCAAGTTCCAGAAGTGTCTTGAACTTTGTGAAGAAGTACTCAAGGAGGACGAGTTGAACTTTGCAACGTTGCCGATATATTTGGCATCTCTGCACGAATTGAGGGCCAAGAACAAGCTTTACCTCATCTCTCATAAATTGGCTGAACATTATCCAAAAAAGCCCATCTCATGGCTTGCTGTGGGGATATATTACCTTGCCATTAACAAGATCCCTGAGGCGAGAAAATATTTCTCCAAAGCTTCTTCTTTGAATCCAAACTTCTCAGAAGCATGGATTGGATTTGCACATACATTTGCTGCTGAAGGAGAACATGACCAGGCCATTGCTGCTTATTCCACAGCATCTAGATTCTTCCCAGGTTCTCATCTACCGAACTTGTTCCTTGGAATGCAATACCTTCAAATGGGTAATTTGACGCTTACGAGTGAGTATTTGATGTCATCCTTCTCGATCTGTCCGAAGGATCCATTGTTGTTAAACGAGATCGGCGTTATGAATTATCACAAGGGTGACCTTTCGAATAGTGAGGCGTATCTAAACCAAGCATTACAGGTTTCTAGGGATATCGATTCAGACTCTAAATCGTGGATTTCGATAAATTCAAACTTGGGCCATGTCTATCGTCGCATGGGCCTTTATTCAAAGGCATTGATGTGCTTTGAGGAAGTTTTAAGGGTTTCTAAAAGGGACCCGAACGTATATTCTGCTATTGGTTTGGTCTACCTTAAAATGGGAGACCCCGGTAAGGCGATACAAAACCTTCACTATTCGTTGGCTACAGGGACCCATGATCCAGTGGCCCATGACTTGTTGAAAAGAGCATTGGATGAGAACCTCTCTTCCAAGTGCCAGGAAGAGTTCTTTGCAAAGACCTCAAGAGAGGCTCTCACTTTCAGCAGTGCAACAAAGACCCCATTGATGAATAGAACCAAGCACGTTTCAAAGAGCAACACGCTGAACGATTCAGTGGATCAAATTGCTACTGATTTAATCAACGGTGCAGATTCTAGTGATGAAGATGATGATGATGATGCAATAATGGATATTGAGAGTGATTAAGTCGTATATAATTTGAACGTCGTTTACATGATGGGGGTGTTTTGCTAATGATATATTTCTTCTCAACCAGTGAACTAATCTGTGGTAGTCTTTAGTGCGGTAGGGTGCTTCTTTGGTCTTCGTGCTCTCTGCTTGGTGGTCTTTTTAGTTGATTGGTCTGCTGAATCACTTGGTGTAATCTCCTGTTTGTCCATCATTGGTTTAGCACTCTTATTCTCGGCTGGTTTGGTGCTCTGAGGCTGTGGTCCAGGCCTCTGGTTCTGTATAGTTGGCTTCTCCTTTGCCTTCTCCCTTGCTCTCTCCTTTGCCTTCTGCTTTGCCCTCTCCTTTGCCTTCTTTGCTCTAGAGATACTCCCCTTCTTCCCTGTGACGCCTTCTTCCGCATCCTGCTGAGTACTTTCCGCCTGAGATACCTTCTGCCTCTGCTTATTCATCTGCTTCTTCCTCTTAGACCTGTCCTGCGGTTTGTCTGCCATCTTCTTCTGCAGTTTCTCCCAGTTAGAACCAACCTCATCGAATAGAATCTTCTTCTTCTTCTGCCCCTTCTTGCCATCACGGTTTCCCGCAACATTCAATGCTTCAAATCTCTTGGAGAGATGAGCTGGGTTGTTGAACTCTTCATCGAGTTGGATCTGCTCCTCCTCATCGCTCACAACAAACTGTGGGCCATCTTCAGAGTCGCTGTCGTTCTCCAATTGGAAGTAGTCGCTGACGGACTCATCTGAAGACAGTAACGTAAGATCGTCAAGCTGCTCAGAGAGTTGTAACAGGCTCTCCATAAACTGTGCGCTCGGCTTCCCTCTCCCTCCTGGTGGCTTGTCCTCAAGGTGATGATCTTCATCTCCATCTCCATCTTCATCAGAGCTGAAGCCCAAGTCGAAATCCAGGTTCAAAATCTCTTGCCGAACTTGTGATCTGGGCTTCTTACCAACTTTGCTCTTCCTCTGCGTATCCTGGTGCCCACTTGGTGCACCATCAACCCCTTCAGCATCATCAACCTTAGGCTCGTCGTCCACAACTTCGTCATCATGGTTCAGCAGGAAGTCCAGATCGTTGTCGAACGCATCACGAACTTGGGTCTGAGCATTGTACTCAACCTCTCGCTTCGGCACCTCGTCTGGCGATTTGAGGTAAATGGGCACAACGGTCTTCTTAGGCTTCTTCTTTCCCATCTCTAACCACTGCTACTGAGCCTGTCCTCTGGCCTCTCCTTCCGTTCTGTGCGTCCAAAGCGGTCTCTTGTTTACTTTTGTAGTAGGAAACATCCAGACATATATCGCTGAGCAAAGGCTAAGCGCCCTACAAAACATCAACATGTGATTGGTAAAGAGGTCGATGAAAGGAGATTAATCTACATTTAATACATTCAGCCGACATAGTGCGTGGTTTCTATTCTAGAGCAGGTTGTCACAGCTTGTGGCAGGTGCTAGAAGGAGCCTATCTTGTCGGCAATGGCCTTCTCAACCTGGGAGTAAACAACCTCGACTGGATGGTCACACTGCAACTTGACAACTTTGCCCTGCTTGTCGAAGTACTCAACCACCGGATAGCTTGTCTCGATAAAGGTCTTGAATCTCTTCTTGATGGACTCGATGTTGTCGTCTGATCTGCCTGAGGTCTTTCCTCTTTCGAGCAAACGTTGCAGCATAACTTGTTCTGGGCATTCAAAGAAGATCGTGAAGGAGCTGGTGGCGATTTCATCCTCAAAGATGATGGCCTGGTCCATTTTTCTCGGGAAGCCGTCGATGAGGAACCTCGTCTTGCCGTTGGCGTACGCCTCTTTCATGGCATTCTTCAACAAGCCCACGGTGACCTCTTGTGGGACGATCACACCGTCCTTGATGCATTTGGAGATGAGTTCTCCGTACTGGGAGCCCTCTCTGTTCTGCTCTGCTCTCAGCAGATCTCCGGCACTCAGGTGAACGAACTTGTGGTGCTCAACCAGCCTGTTGCACTGGGTACCCTTACCGGAACCTGGTCCACCAAGGACAAAAATCACGTTGACTTCACCGTCCTTGAACGCCTTTGTCTTCTTCTTCTCAGGCTCAACGAGCTCTGTAGGAGCACTCTTCTGGTAAGACAAGGACAGCACAGTGGACCCAATGGCCAACAACCCGAGCAACACGGCCACTTTGCCCCTATTGGACGAGCCCTTTGGCTGTTGGTCCGATGTCTTCTTGTCATTGGCCTTCTTCTGGGCCTGGAATTGGTAGACAGAAGACGAAAACAGCCTCTTGGACACAATTGGAGACGCCTGTCTCGCACTGAGACGTCTGGCACTGGAGAGCAATACTCTGTTCATCATCAACTTGGGGTATGAGCTCACAGGAAGGAGATGTTGTACAGCAAATGCTTTGTGCTAAAAGGTGAAGAAAGTGGTTGACGGACGGCAGCGGACGCACCGAAGGCTGAAACCGGTCCCAATTGTTGGTTCGGGAACGTCCGCTAATCACCGAGGTTACGGGTCTGCTTATGTAAGTTTACAGGGAACAGCTATGGCTATGGACTAAGGGCTATGTGCTGTGATTCGTCATGATTGTTTATTTGATTGCTTCAGCGATGGACTAACTGTTGATGTCTGAGCGTCACTTTGTGTATTTGTCGAGCAATTGATCGTTATACCTCAAATACTTGCCGTTAATCTCCTTGTCGATTCCTCTCAGGGCGATGTTGGCGTATATCCTTGCAGGGACGGAGGGATCCAGCAACTCCTGGTTTCTCTTTAGATCTGTGAATCTCTTGTGTGCCTCCTTGGTCATGTCGGCACCAACTATTGTGATTTTGTTAGTATGCCCTGTGTGAATTCAGTTGAGGTAGCGGTGGAACAACAGGCAAACTCACATTTATCCCTAATTTCCACTTGCATCTGGGTATCGACAACGCCAGGTGCTATAGCCACGGCGGAGATTTCTGGCTCCTCCGAAGTCAATTGAATGGCAAATTGGTTAACTGCTGCCTTGGAGGCTGCGTACGCACCCCATCCGTACTGAGTTTCCTGTTAGTATACTTGTAGTGCAAACACGTTGTGAAATGGCACACATACGTAGCCCTTTGTAGAGGCACCGGATGACACCATGATGACGTTTCCCTTGGACTCCTTCAAATAAGGTATGGATTGTGCCACCAGCGAAACTATGGAGAAGAAGTTGACGTCAAAGAGGTGCTTCCATTCCTTGATGTCCGCAAGTTCCACTCTTTGGACGGGCTCGAGGATTCCAGCATTTGCAACTATGGAATCTATACGACCAAATTTGCCGATGCATAACTCCACAACCTGTTTGACAACCACTTCATCCGCAAGATCCCCCTGTACTGTCGCTACCCTTTCCTCCCCATACTTGATCTTCAAGTTTCTCAGCGCATCCTCAGACCGTGCAACGGCAACGATGCTCGATTCCTTATCCCCAAGAACTATGTCTGCTATGCAAGCACCGATTCCTACAACCTCAGCATTAGTACCTCATCACGAACAAAAAGCAGCGCAAACGAAAAGCAGCACAACCAAAATCGCCATCTCCCTCCAAGTCTCAGTACTCACCTCTTGATGCTCCTGTCACAATGATAACTGGCATCCCTATCGCTTAAACAGTATGAATTCACAACAAACTGTGAAAAGAAACAGGGAGATGGCGATCTCTCAATTCGAAACAAAGGAATTTTCCAACAGGGCCAGCCCAGGCAAACGAAATCTCTGTGGGGGCATCTCGGACTCGAAAAGGAAACAAAGTTGAGTAAAAAAATTCCCAAAACGGAAATATTACGGATCCAGTTGTTTCCGTGCTCGTGGCCTTACTGTTTTGGTATATTTCCTATTTAGTATGATTTTTTGTCCTCCTCAACAAAAAACAACAATCAAAACAAAAGACAACACAGACACGAAGGAAGGATAAACAAACAATCAACAACTTTTAAAAAGAGTAAGAAGAGGTTGGTTTGAATAGGGCGCTTAACATTCTAAGCTCACCATTTGACTTGTTTGGGCTGGTTTCGATAAGGCGCTTATCATATAACTGACATTTTCCATTGTACGTGAGTTGGTTTCCTACTTATTTCCTTTACCCGCCCAACGTTTAGGCATCACCGCTGTATATCTGAATTGAGAGAGAGAGATGCCTGGAAAGGTGAGGAACCCCTTTACCGTTGATACACGTTGAGTGTCTTGTTTTCTGTAACACAGCGCTTGTGTGTTTGTGTGTGTGTGTGTGTGTCCTTTGATCTAGAGAACTAACACTATGAAACGCAGCCCTCGCCTATTGCTCTCCAACCGACATCGCCGTGTTGAATTATACAACCACGCTGATCCTATTGCGATTATAGAGATAGAGGGGATTTGTTCAACCACAGGACTTCACAAGCTACTGATCAACCCAGTATGGACAACTTGACGAGACAGACAAGCGCGCTGAGCGTTTCAGATATTGCATCGGTGAACTCCACGGCTTCAAATGTGGATTCCAAAAGAAGGTTCAACGTTGCCGCATCACAGGCCTTTCTGCCATCTTCAAAACCTTCGATGGAGAAGTTCTCATCGATTCGCTCCCCCAATTTCTCAGATATACCTTCGTTTGTGCCTTCTGCGCAGCAGGAGTCGAAATTTGACCCAACGGTACCTGCGTTCGAATCGCCTGTATCTCCTCAAAGACCTTATGAGCGTCAATTAAACCCGTATACTTCCCATCATCAGTCTATGGACCATATACCAACGATGAATTCGTTTCAACAGATACCTCCAATGGGTGGACCACAACAACAAGACTTTATGTTCCAATCACAACAGCAGTCGAATTACCCCCTGAACTACCATCTCTATGCGCCAACATCCAATAAACATTTGCACTTGCATCTGAAGCCTAATGAACAAAATGCAGAGACCTTGTTTATACCAAACAAACTGAGAGAGGCACTGACGAAGAAAAACCATGCCATATTGCAAACGATGCCACAGTCATCGTTACCGGTATTAGTGGGCGTATACTTCAACTTGGTTCCACTTATGACTAGTACATTGAACTCTGAAAGTGCGTATGGTTATCCAAACGTCATTTATAAGGCTACTTCAAACACAGATGGTAAGGCATATGCCCTGAGACGTATTGAAAATGTCAACTTGGAAAAGGATAGAAGTTTATCCACCGTACATTCATGGATAAAGCTCAGACATTCTAACGTGGCACAAGTTGTGGATGCATTCACGACGAGGGCTTTTGGTGACAACTCGCTAATCATCGTCTATGATTTTTATCCGGAGGCAAAGACACTCTATGAAACTTATTTTATGACTGAGATGGGACAGCCGGACATTTTAACTATGGATATCTTGTGGAGTATCATGTGTCAAATATCGGCGGCAATATCTGAAATTCATTCAAGGGATTTACTCGTCAGATCTTCATTACATCTGAGGAAAGTCATCATTACAAGTAAAAATCGTGTGAGGTTAAGTGATTGTGGAGTGTTTGATATATTGAAATACTCCGAATCAATAGATGGTGATAAATTGGCCTTGCTTAAAGAAGTGGACTTGCTGAAGTTTGGACAGTTGATGGATAAGTTAGCTCAAAAGATGGTTTCGAAGAAAAAGGGCAAGACTCTTTCAACGGAGGAACTCTTGGAGAGTTCAGATCTCGATGAAGAATTTAGAAAGGCTTTGAAATACCTTCTACGTCCTCCCTCAGGTGAACCTTATACTATTAAGGGTCTGCAACAGATAATATGTGATCAGGTCTTCAAAGAATTGGATCGTATTCAACACACGGCCGATTTCTATGAGTTACAATTATGTCGTGAGTTGGAAAATGCAAGAATTGTTCGTTTGATGGCGAAGATTGACTTCCTCATTGACAGACCTGAATATCAGGCAAGCAAGATTTGGGGACCAACAGGGGAACGCTATCCTATAAAGTTGTTTCATCAATACTTGTACCATCAGAGGGACTCTGACGGTAAGCCTATTTTGGACTTGGCACATATCTTGACAAACCTGAACAAGTTGGATGCTGGAATCGAAGAGCGCTTTTTACTTATCCCACCGGATGAACAAACCTGTCTGATTGTTTCCTATAAGGAGATTAAAGACCTAGTGGAGAAATCATTTAGAGAGTTAACAGCCGAGATGTCTGTTTCATAACCAATACAAACAAAAACAATTATCAAATACCTTTCTTTTTTCCATGTACATTCTTTTGTTTTGATTATCTCTTGTTTGATCACTAACTGAGCCAGCAGAATGGACACTTATACAAGATGTGACTCCCAATTCTTGGGAGGACTCCGTACATCTTTTTACAACGGATTAAGGACATCATGAGCCTTGGATATTGAGGGACTGTTACTTCGTGTAAATGAAGGTGCAATTCCATCTCTTTCAAGTTTGGAGCTTCAATTTGTAGTGGAAGCACACGTCGTGGAATCTCTGCAATATTTTGAATGTTCAACGTTTCCAACCTTTCAAATCTTATAGGGTACTTCATCTCATAAAAGCCGATGTGTATGTTCATCAAAGAGAGTGAAACCAATCGATGTCGGACTTTCCTCAAGATCTCTCTTACGTCTATGTACTGTCGAATGTTGAATTCTTTTATCGTGAGGTATTTGAGCCTTGGAAATGAAATAACCAAGTTGATCATTTCCTCATCATTTAAAGGTCTTCCCTCTTTGTGCTCCAGCTCGAACTGTGTCAATGCATCGGCTGCAAACATTGGCAGCATGGTCATATCATCCTGTGCTTGAAGTCGTAACCTCTTCAGTTTTGGTAACGTGATGATGGTGCCCTGTGGGAAGTTTGTGCCAACCACTACCTCAACTTCAACAAGTGCAGTCAATGGTGCTTGAATCAATGGTTCCATTACATTGCTTATGGACATGAGCTCAACTGTTTTCATGAAAAGATAATCGTTCTGATTACCCATACAGACCTCTCTTGGTGTGTTTGCAGACGTTTCAATTCTCATTCTTGTCAGCTTTGGTGCTTTGAAATTTCTAAAACGAGGGATCTGGCCTAGGATGTTCAATCCAAACTCTTCGAGTTGAGGTAATCGAATATTCGTCAAGGATGTTAATCCTTTGCTTGGTGTAACGTACCACAGAATGACTAAGTTCATAAAATGACAGTCCATCATTCGCCTCACGTGGCCATTCTCATCCACAATCAAGCATCTTGTTTTGAACTGTTTCCCCTTCAACAAATCAACCTTATCACTGATGGTCATTTTCCTTGACTCCAACTGCGAAAAGTCAATAAAGTCATAAAATTCCTGTGCACAGTGGTCCATTGAGAGGGAATTAACTCCATGTCCTTGGAAGTAGGTGGGTTTGAGTAACGTGCAAGCAACAAATTGAATTTTTGGTATATTGGAGAGGGTAATAATCCTCGAACGAATGGTGACGTCTCTCAGATCCAGAAATGAATAGTTGTTTAGTTCAAGAATTGATTGATGACCTAGTACGTCCAGAACAAACATCAAGAGAGGATTCCATTTTGTGAAGGGTATATGGCTGGTGAATCCTGAGCTGTAATCCCAGTTTTGTTCATAGTACTGTGTGAAGTCGTTGTCACCGTTGAGTTTCATGATGGTGAAGCACTGTTTTGTCACAACACTCATGAGTCCAATGTTACACATTTGGGCATCACGAATAAAGACTAGGCTCAGCATCGCTTTCATTGGAATCGGATCTGCATCATCAATGTTTGTACTTTCAGCCAGCAGATCATTGTGGACCATGTCTCTATTGCACGCATAGTAGTGTTTGATCGTCCCTGGTGAAAACTTAGCTCCAGAAATGATAAACGTCATAATGCTATCGTAATCGAGCAGCTTGAATATCTTGAGTTGTATCTCTACGGGGAACATTGAAAAGTCAAGTCGAGTATCCGGGATGGTTAAGCTTGCGAAGTTGCACTCAAGGCACTCTTTTTCTGGAGTCATATTAAACTCTTCCACTGGTGTGCTTCTCAAAGTTTTATCGATATTAGTCCATCTCTGATCAACTATAAGAGATATTCACTAAAAGCTGTGCTTTGTGGTTATCATTATATACTCTTTTGGCTGCCTCAGCATGAGAGGAAAGTTATTGTGAAGCAAGAACCCAGACTGCAGCTCACAATGTCTATAGCACATCATGGCATTCCAGGTTCTTCATGGCAACCTGCATTGACGGTGGAACAGGGATGATCGTCTGCATGAGAAGAAACAACTTGAATGATCTGCAACCTCTCTAGTACAGTGGTTGTATCTTAAGCAAACATTTGAAACGTGACTCAAATCATACACGAGAGCTGAACATGATGTACAAGACGTACAGGTGAGTATTTGCAGACTTTACTGTATCTCCACGATACAACAACTCTCAAATACTCTGCGAATAGCCATGTTCCATTTACAAAATGGGGCTCATGTGGGTGTTGAAGCCAAACGTGAGAGCTCATACATTGGGTGGTGTCCGGGTTAAACATGACACCAAGGAGAATACTCACTTTTAATGGGAAATAGATAATGTCTTTGGGGTGATAATGGTTGTTATGTTAGATAGAGGTATATATGAGTATATTATTCTGATATTTATTGAAATAAAGGTGGATATTTATGATTGATAGAGTGCTTTTTAGATAGTTACCATCATATTAAAATTTTCACCGAAAAACTGATGTCATTAAAATATTCATAACTACAACATTAAATTCTTACATATATTTAATAATTGATGGACTATTATTCACAACACAGTGAATAATATGAGAAAGTGGGGCCGAACCTACCAAATAACACAACCATACACCAATTCACCGGCATTCTTTGTTAACAAACGCCCGGGAAACCTATCAAATATGGATTTACGGCCGCATCCTCACTGTAGGCCAGCAACGCAGACGCGAGCAACACAATATTAAGGACCCCAAAAGCTGCCAATTCTTCTCATTATATCTGCAACTATACTCATTCACCAACAAATAAGTACAGTATACATGTAATCATTCTAGAAATCTGTAATTGCCAGCCATTGATCACGTGACAAATAATTACTCTCACCGCTTTCAATCTCCATCAGTGTTTACACAAAACCTATTTCATACAAATGTCCACAATCGTGGAATAAAGCTATCTTTCTTTCGCTTTCCGTTGACTTACTCAGAGAATATCACACACGAGGCTGCCATGGACTACAGTCAAGAGTTATCCAATTTCAAGTATAAGATAAAGAGATTGCTCATTGAGTTTCATCATCACAAGAACAAGACCTCACACAACAAGAGTGTCGTCCATGACCGTGACAGAACCAAACCGTTGATGACTTTGAGAACACTGAACAACGGCAACGACTCCTTGAAGTCAATAGCCATAGATGAGACATTTGATGGGTTTTCATGCATTGGAGAGGCTGCTGTGATGCGACCAAGTGGTGACTGCGATGCAACGTTTTCTATTACGCGAGGCGTTGTTGACACCATGAAGTACATCATAGGAGACCTTAGAAGACAGAGCTCTGAGGTGTCGCTACAGAAGAAAAGGGATGAATGCCAATGCCCTTGTCACTCCAATCCACATCAGATCATATACAACCAGCATTTGGAATCTTGTCTTCAGGTTTGCTCCCTCATACCATCAAACAATAACGAGAACATTGGAACCTTGGAAGAGCAGTTACTGAAGAGTGGTGTCCACTATATTGGTGAATCACAACAGCCAAAGCAACCTTCCAAGTTTCACCGCTTTATGAACTGGCTTCATCGTGGACATCAAGCAAGCTCGAATTCTCACATTGACTGTTCTGGGAAGATGACCTCTTCAAGCTTTGATCCAGAAGGTAGAATTGAGATCATCACAGAGTCACACCTCCCTGATGTGGAAACATCATCTCCAAAGGAAAGGATAAAGAGCCCGGCACAGGAGAACAGAGCTTCATCATATGCTAGAAAACGTCAAAACCCCGTGCAGTCACTAATTGGTCTAGCCAGAGATCATACAAACGACGTGAGATGTTCGTGTTCCCTGTGTGATAAGAAACAGCACAAGGTTGGCACACAGCCCTGGAAGGTTGTGATGAATGATATCTCTTTGTATGCAGCTTTGTTATCCACTGGATCAAAGCCAGATACTCCGACTGCCTCATTCCAACCACTAGTTCTGGATTTCACACAGTCAAAACATCATTATGACCGTGAGTACGACTGCCAGCAAATAGTAATGAATGATGAAAACGTTATCCTTGATACAGACCTCCTTGACCTCAATGAGCAGCCCACAACAACATTGTTACCAACTCGCTCAAAATCCTTGAATGCTTCAGTGAAAGTCACGACAAAAACCAATAGCACAGTGCTACGTTCCAATCAACACAGTAACAGAGCTTCAACTTGTACACCTCAATACACCTTAGACCAAACCTATGGATATCCAGATGTCTTGTTGGACTACAACTATTCAGATGACGATAATGACATAACGTATCCTCTTTTACCAAAGTCTCAGTTACCAAAGCCCGCAAACAACTCGGGATCTCTTGAGGTTCTTCCCTTGAGCATCATTCACAAATGAAGAATAAGCTTGCTTCTTTATTCCTTTTGTTCTTCCCCTAATATACGAACAGTGACAACTGTGTTGATCTCCTTTGATTGATTTTGCTCCTCAACATTGTAATCACCTCTGCAGAGTCCGCGTACAATTTCTGTGAGTTGACGCAACTTTTTGAGGCTCTCCTTTATAACATGAAACCACATTGATCAAGGTGGGAATTTCCCAATTCATTGAGGAAACGAGCCATTCAGTCCAATATATATTCCTGAATTTCCTACCGAGCAAAAGCCCTAATTCTGAGCATTAGTTTCTTCCTATTTGCTTGGGTTCTTTACGATTTAGAGCCACTCAACTTAGCCCTGAGGAGAGAGAACTATCTTCAGATTTATTCATCAAGCTTTGGCAATGGGATGCACAGCCAGTAGCGAGTCTCCTGAAGAGGCCGACCCCTTTCTTCAATCAAAGAATATGAATGCTGTCATTGAGAAGCGTCTTCAAATGGAGAAGACTAGGGAAAACAACGAAGTGAAGTTGCTCTTACTGGGTGCAGGTGAATCAGGTAAGTCCACAGTGTTGAAGCAGATGAAAGTGCTTCACCAGAATGGGTTTACACATCAGGAGAGAAAGCAGTATACTCAAGTCATCTGGGCAGATTCGCTACAGAGCATGAGAGTATTGATTGTACAGGCTCGAAAGCTGCAGATTCCTTTGAATTCAGATCAACCAGGAAGCCCACTTATGCCTTATAAACAGTCGATACTTAGGGTGAACACTCTTCAGCAAGTTGACACTGGGATTGCCGGAGGTAACAGTTTCCTTAAGGACTATGCAATCAAGTACAGCGCACGTAGTGAGACCAAGAGACGTGTACAGAGCACTGGTCGCACAGGTGCAGTGTGGGATGCAACTCCATCAAATTCACAGTTGGAGAATAACGATAGTGAACAGCAAGGGTTGAGTATAGATGAGTTAAACGACACTTTAAACGGATCAAGTGTGCATCCAGGAGTTTCTGCAGTGAATAGCACAGTGCTTAGCGGTGGTAAGACCTCCTTAACAAAGGAGCAAATCGCAGAGGCTATTTCTCAACTGTGGAAAAACGATATGGGTATAAAACAGTGTTTCAACAGGTCCAATGAATTCCAATTGGAAGGCAGCGTTTCATACTATTTTGACAACATTCACAAGTTTGCAGACGCAAACTATCTCTGCACAGACGAAGACATCTTAAAAGGCCGTATAAAGACCACAGGTATCACTGAAACCAATTTCAACATTGGGTCAGCAAAGTTCAAAGTGCTGGACGCAGGAGGACAACGTTCCGAGAGAAGAAAATGGATTCACTGTTTCCAAGGAATCACTGCTGTTCTTTTTGTCCTCGCAGTCTCTGAATATGATCAGATGCTCTTTGAGGATGAGCGTGTTAACAGAATGCATGAGGCCATCATGCTGTTCGACTCACTGTGCAATAGTAGATGGTTTCACAACGTTCCCTTCATATTGTTTGTCAACAAGGTCGATCTTTTTGAACAGAAACTGAAGAAGTCGCCAATAAAGAACTATTTTCCGGACTACAACGGGAAACCAGGTGACGTTAATGCTGGGCTGAAGTACTTTGAAGACATATTTTCATCTCTGAACAGAACGAAGAAACAGCTCTATATACACAGAACTTGTGCCACGGATACTCAGAGTATGAGGTTTGTTCTGACTGCCACGACTGATATGATTGCTCAGCAGAATTTGAAGAAGAGTGGACTACTATGACAACCACTCCGTATAAAGATGTAATAAACGCAATATGTAATATAATATTACATATTATATATAGGACCGGATAAACTCATTATGCACGCGTGCGCGTTCTCTAATTTAACCGCTTGTTGGCTCGGGCTGCAAAGAAAATCTCCGTATCTGGCCGGGCTAATAGCCTATGGTGCGCGCGCATAACTCCGGAGCCTCGAAAGCCGGCCAGCCTTTGTTTGGCTTCTAATTCAGCCGGTTATAGCACCGTCTTATGATTGAACCTTGGGGCCTTTTCCACACCAAAAGCCTCTTTCTTTACTCACTCGCTGACTCAAAGGTTGGTTTAACAGTTCACGGCGATTGGAGGTGCTGGGACATTTGGTTTTGGAACAACAGCACCGATGTCTCTTAACAATGAAAAGTCGAAAGTTGGGAATAATGGCAGCATCTTGAACAAAGCCAAAGTGCCATCACGTTCCCCCTTACACTACCCCAGTGATATAGTTATAAACGAATCCCAAGTTAGAAGGCTGAATGGTAACAGTAAGGATACCAGCAGTACACAGAACTCTGCCACTCCAAAGTTGTTCAACCTCGAGACTGATCAAGTTACTGGGCCACCGTCAAGAAGTGGGAATACACCAGTACCACAATTCAACAGTAACGTTATCTCAGTCTTTAATGAACAAGTCACCATGGATGAGATGATGCAGAAGGTTCAAGAGCGCAGAGTGGAGATGAATTTTGACGAGTTGTAAGTGACACTTTTGATATCGGAACCATTGAATGGGTGTAAATATTGTGGACATGCGATGGGATAGGCTGGACCTCTTATTACATATATACTAATAAACAAACGTAGTTTCATAACTTCATTAAGTAGATCAATATATACAAGCTAACTCATTTTATTCAACTTGAACCAAAGTTTCATCGAACCAAGGTTCAATGACTATGCTCCAAAGACCCCAACAGGGTGTCTATCTGTTCAACCAACTCAAATTCCGTATGTGCATTGTCAAGCATGCGAGGATGATAGTTTGGTTGGCTCTTTATGACTTCAATCACCTTTGCAAATGCAATTCGCCATAGTAGTTCATGTTCCAAGTTTTGTAGAGGTTTTGTCTGTTCATCTGGCTTCAAGGATTCACGCATCTGTTCAACAATTTTCTGTTCTTCCAACGCTTCTCTCTCTGGTGAAAATGGATCTAAACTATGCTGTGCAAGCCTTTCAGATTGTAACCTCTTCAAAGCATCATCGTACAGTGAGCTTCTCTTAAGCTCAGATATCTCGATACTCGCCTTGTCCTTGTAAATCTTTTCAATCCATTTCAAGCACTGTGGTGTGGGCGTACATCTATGAACAAGACCCATGTATTGCAGAACACAAGCCAAACCACATAGATCGTGCTCCAAAGTGAATGTCTTTATGATTGTCGTATAGTCATCAGGAGAAGGAACCACGTTGTCATGAATCATCTTCATGAATAACACTCTTAAGTCTGGCAAGTCGATGCCATGACGACGACCACTATTTGTCGCCATTACGTGCCGTAGACATTGCCAGATAGCAGAGTATAGTTTTGTAAAGTCAGAATACTCCAAGTCCTCCTTGTGTATATCTTCGAGAACAATAGAATGGATGAATTTCATTGCCAATTGGTATTGCCTATTACGATCCAAGCTACCCAGGATTTGAGTAAGGATCAACGGGTTATAGTGTCCAAGTAGATCGGTAAATCTATCGATGATATGAATCATTTGATCCACGTTCCCTGTACGTCCGTAGTATCTGATGAATGGTATATAGTGATGCGGAGCAACAGGAGGTATAACCAAATCTTTGACGAGATCTGGTGTTATCGATACATCTCTGTACGAATTCTCCAAATCGTCCAACACTTTGAGTCCCTGTTCTAATTTACCAGCGTTGACCAATGCAGTTAGCAATCTGTACATGTTTCTCTGTGTAAGTCTCTGTTGCTGCTCTGTAAGAGCTTTGAACTCATCGATAATCCTGGCAAAACCACCAACTTGGCTTAAAGAGTTGAAGAATTCATCGAGGATATCACCTTGCTTGGCTTCAACTTCATGTGTTTTCCTATACTGATCAAAGAAGCTATTTATCTGCTTCTCTGCTTGCGAATCTGACAACTTAGAAACCATTGGCTGGATCTTTGTCTTGTATTCAAATTTGAAGTTTAGTAAGAGATGTTTCAAGTCGTCAGGCGAGGTTGATTCTTGTTCAAGGTAAAAGTCCATAATCTTTGGGGTTTCTTGCTTCAAACTTTTCAAGCTGCCATGATCATCAGCTCCCAGATACGAGGATATGACGCCTAGGAAGGTCTCCCTCGAGGGAGGATCAACAATGTTCAAGTACTCTGTGATATCTTCTTCAGCAGCACCTAACCCCGGGTCTTCTCTTTCAAACCGTCTAAATCCCAAAGCCTTCACAACTTGTTGAAGTTTACTGGTCCAGTAACGAACCCTTTCAACATTACCTGCCACGATATAGCCATTGATGAAATGGACGTATACCCTTTCGTCCATAAATGGTGAATATTTTGTCTCGATGAGTCGTACCACCGCTTCTGCTTCGTTAAAATTCCTCAAGTCGATGTAGTTTATAACCATCAATTCGTACCACCATCTTTGTCCAATCTTCTCACAATTTTTGGCCAATATCGTCTGCGCTTCATGATGATTCCCATAGTACATCAGTGATTCGATATATTGGTACTCGTTTATCGCATCGAATTCGACTCTTTTCAGCTTGTAGACCAGTGACCCTGATAGAAACCTGGCTCTTAGCCTCAGCTCGTGGTCCGCAACGTACTGAGCCATTTCAAAGCATTGGGCCATATCTTCAACTGAGAGTATGGTACAGCCATCAGGTGCCTTGTATAGGTTTTCCAAGACAGTTATCAACACTTCGAACCTTCTATATCTAACGTTGCCAACGTTCCAGTGATCCAATGTTCTCTGCTTGATTTCATATTCCAACCCACGCTCAATGTCCTTAGTCTTGATCTTCGAGTCATCAAGTGGTTCCAGCTCATCTCTATTAGGATAGTGCACAATCTCTTCGTACGCTTCCTTTAAAAAGAACTTGAACAATGACTGGGTCTTCTCAGCCTCTGTCGTCAAAGTACTCAACAGTGCCTTCTGTTTCCTGTATCTCTTATCAGTCTTAGTTCCAGGCCTTGACAAGTTCAAGTTCTCCAACAGCACAATAGAAGGGTCAACGTCAACTGCAGTGACCTCTTGGTCGTTGAGCGACTCCAAGGCCTTATCCAAATCCCCCAGAGGTTTAATCCTCAGTTCGTCAACATGCTCACCGTCTCCAGCCGTTGGCCGTGGTTGCCTGTTGAGCTGCGGCCTTGTACGGGCAGCACGTTGGGCAATAACAAAGGGAAGAGCTCTTCGTATGTGAGACCTCAACACGGTCCTTCCACCAAGTCTCAACATTATTGTCTCCGTACCGCTTACTACATCTGATACCACCTCATCTCATCGCTTCCTATAAAATTTTGTCCAGGTACTAAGTTCGAGACAAATGCTGCCTCTACCAATGTCTACCTCTGCGCCACAACCTCACCACAACGTTACCGGGGCTACAGACATCAACACTTACAACCAAGTCGTTTATTGAAAGGATGATAGCTACAGTTTTGAAGACTTTGGAGCATCTCCCACGTGTGCTCCTCCATCGATTGGAATCACTGCCCCGTTGATATAGTCCGACTCCTTCGCGCAGAAGAACAGGACGACGCTCTCGATGTCTTCCTGTCTACCGAGTCTCTTCTTCGGGTTGTTCTGTACAAATGTGTCGCCAATCTTCTCCAGCAGCCCGTTGGACATCTTCGTCGGGAAGAACCCAGGTGCCAGTAGGTTGACGTTGATGTTCTGAGGTCCCAATTCCAAGGCAAGGCATTTACCGAGGTGCATTACACCGGCCTTGGAAGCGGTGTAGCCATAGGTGCCACCATCCATTGCGTCTGGCTTGATTCCGGTGATTGATCCCATAATCAGTACTCTCGAGGAGTAGTCAACGGTACCAGCTTTCTTCAACAGCGGATAAAACGCTTGGATTGTCAAGAATACGCCCTTCACGTTCAAGTCCATCACTTTATCAAAGGCCGATTCAGGGTGCTTCATCAGAGGCGCACCCCAGGAGGCACCCGCGTTGGCAATCAGAATGTCAACTTTATCCTCCTGAGAGGCAACCTGTTGGGCAAACTTCTTCACACCTTCACCGTTCGAAACGTCAGAGGCGATACCCACAACTTTGCACGAAGGGTTGTACTGCTTAGCAACGCCTTTCAAAAACTCCACTGATTCATTCACGGCTTGTTGCTTTCTCGACGTGATGTAGACAGATTTCGCACCATTCTTCACTAACACCTCAGCACAGTTCAGACCGAGCCCTCTAGAGCCACCGGTGATGACAGCAACCTTCCCATTGACGTTCAATTTCATGATGCGCACACTTTCTGTTTTCTTACCTCGACGTGGTTGTCCAATCTGCCAGACAAACTGTGACACTGAGGACGTTACTCCTTATATAATAAAAAATGCATCACGAATACGCTGGAAGCTTAGGACATTCTGAACGGGGTTTCTGGTGTCTTGGTGATGGGTTTAATCAGTCTCTCTGACGGTGTCCTCGGCTAAAACAATGTATGTGGAAATGGGACTTTTCAGTGACACAAAGGTAATCCAACTGAGGTTTTTTGCGCACTTTCCCCACAAAAGTGCTGCGCGTACCATAAGAGGAGTCCCGGCTTGCGCAAAAAAAGTCTCAACGAGGGACAAACCGAGGACTCTTTTCATATGTCTTTTGTTGACGTCTCCAAAATTTGTCCGCGAGTATGCCTGTTTTTTGTCTCTGTCTTTGATTTGAGGAGGAGGGGGGGTTACAGCCCAGTTGCTGTCAAAATTGGACAGAAACTTATTCCCAGATAAGGGACAAGCAAGCGGGCATTAATTCTATCAAAACTTCATCGGTTGTCCCTAGTTCAATACACAATGGACTCTCCTCTTTATCGCTGTTTCTTTCTGACTTAACAATAGTTCAACTGTCGTTATTCGAATGTCTCTTGGGATTTGCTAAGTCTCAAAATGTCCCCAACGGTTTTTCCTCCCTTTCCCTGCCCTATGCGTCTCGTCCCAACTTTTTTTTTTTGGCTTGTTTTTCCTCTGTAAATTCTTGCTTTCTTGGGCTCGGTTTTCCTCCCGCTACGCGGACATTTCCTCTCTGTCCACCTCTTTACCCAAACCACCGGACTCAATTGGGACAGGACATATCTCTCTCATCACCAAACCACCAAAGGACAGTCTGACCAAGCAGAAGGGTCTGGGCCTCCGTTGAAGCAATGAATTCGATATCCTACATTGCCCATAAGGTTGATGATGCCCTCACACCTCTTGAAGCCGGCACCAAGGGCCCCCAACATGACACAGACGCACAGGAGGGACAGGATCAGCCTACCGTCGATACCTCAGCACAGGCCGCACAGGAGCCACCGAGATCAATGGCCACGTATGTGATTGGCGTACTGCTCTTCCTGCCGAACGTTCTCATAGTGAGGCCGCTGTTGTTTTGCTGGTTTATCGTCACGTTCCCTTTGAGTCTCATTGAGCGAAGCCGGGGCCCGGCCGATGAAGCGAAGGCACAACACGGAGCAGTGGGGACAGCAACACGGGACGACGATGAGGAGGAGGAGGAAGACGACGACGATAACTTGAACGATAACGACACTGACGACATACAAAACATGAAAACTGATACAGACTCCACCCTGCCGGTGGTTTCAAACTCCACAATATTGGAGCTGGATGAAACCACGGACAGGACAACATCCGTAGATCTCAAATCTCCAACGTCGCCTCTCTCCTCACAGATCATCGGGTCGAGATCAAGACACCTGGCGTTCCCTAAGACTGTGTTCCCACAGGCACTGGTGAATTCGAATGCCCGCAAGACGCTGGTTTTGGACCTGGATGAAACGCTGGTGCACTCCCTGTCCCGTGGAGCCAGAATGTCCAATGGACATATGATCGAGATCAAGCTGAACGATAACGTTGCAACGCTCTACTCGGTACACAAGCGTCCCTACTGCGACCATTTCCTCAAGCAGGTGTCCAAATGGTTCAACTTGGTGATATTCACCGCGAGCGTGAAGGAGTATGCTGATCCGGTCATTGACTGGCTGGAATCAGAGAGGAAGTACTTCACACACCGATTCTATAGAAACCACTGTACACTGAGAGAAGGCCAAGGTTATATAAAGGATCTGACATCGGTGGACAAGAACCTGAATCACGTGATCATTGTGGATAACTCTCCAATCAGCTACGCATGGCATGAGAGTAACGCAGTTACAGTGGAAGGCTGGATCAACGATGCTACAGATACAGACCTGTTGAACTTGATACCCTTGTTGAGGGCCATGAGATATACAACAGACGTTAGAACAGTACTGGCTCTTAAAAATGGTGAAGTTGCATTCGAAAACAGCGATTAACATAGGTCACTGTTGTTATGCATTAATTATTATAAATCTATATACATACACCAGCCATTATACAGTGCATTGGCATGGTCTGTGCTTATTCTTCATCAACTTTAGCAGTAGGCTTCACGACATTCAGCAGAAGCCCCATTCTTGCAAATCCACCACTGGTTACACTCGCGCTTCTAGAACTCGTAGTGCTTCGGCTTCTCACAGGTCCCGAACTCGTGCTAGTCCTCCTCCATCCTCTGATTTCATCATGATCTCTCACAACATCAGTATGGAAAGGCTTAAGATCCCCAAGGCAGCCTCCGGTTCCTTCCTTATCGCCAAAATCACCATATACACTATGGCACACATTGTTATCAGCACTATGAACACTGGGGGGATTAGGAACAACCGTCCTGACGGAGGAGAGACGTTCACGTAATGAAAAGAACTTGTAATCAAACCCATGGGAATCATCATGACGTGAGCCTTCCAACAGCTTCTCCAATGCCTTGATACGGTCAGCTCTCGTTTGGGAAATTGAGCGTAGCCCTTGAATTTCCTTGACAAATTGGTGATTCTGTTGTTCCAGATTGTTGATCTTTGAGGTGAACTGTTCCAATGTTTGGTCCAATGCCTTTAAATGATCATCATCAGTGGTGGCTTTTTTTGATGCTTCAATTGCAGAGTCCAACTTTGTTTGAAGATCAACAATCAGCAGACACTTGCTTTCTAAATCTGACAGCAGAACATTGTTCATAGTTTGGGAATCCTCCAATTGTTTAACGAGTGAAGTATCACTTGGGGGAGTAGCGAAGGACGGGCATTTGCCCAACATTGCAGTCAATTCCCTAAGTCTGTTCTCCAAATATTCAACTTTATGAATCATAGCCGACGATACTTCATCAACTGCTGGTTCCTTTGAGACAGGCTCGGGCTGTGTTAATTTATTCACGCCAGTTCTCCAAAGATCAAGCTCTATGCTCATCTCCTTGAGTTTCAACTCATGGTCTTGGTTCAACCTCGTTAGGTGTTCAATCTGTCTCATCATATCCAATTGGCTTGGCTCTGCATTAACATGTGCCTTGTTCTTGATCTTCTTTGCCCTTGAGCCGAATCTCAATGTTGAAATGGTCTCTGATTCGTTATAGCTCGACGGCGAACAGTTTATGATCAAGCTTGTCTTTGAATTACCACCTAATGACTCTTGCAATATTCTAGTCAGCTTGGAGTCTCTGTATGGGATATGTGAAGATTTCGAGTCCGTCAAAGCACTGATAACGTTACCTAAAGATGACAAAGAGCTGTTGATCTTCTTTGCTTCTTCAAGAGTTTGGCCAGAGGCACCGGTCTTTCCAACCTTTTCACTTCCAGCTAAATCGACCAAGAACAGCTTGGATCTTTTTATGCCGTCTTGCAAGCTCTCCTGTGTGAGGTCAATCTGTAATATGGCATGAGATCTTGAACTCTCAACGTTCATCTCTGTGCTTGCGACGGCACGCAGCTCTGAGCCTCTTTGTAGCAACCTATACAGATCCTCATTAGAGCCCAAGTACTGTCTGTTCAAGTTCCTTACATGAACGCCATTCAGTCCATCTTCATGAATTGTTAGCTGCTTAGAACTTGGACCCGATAACAAGTCCCTAATCTGCTCCATGTAGATCTCCATGTATGAAGCACTCAGCGTACATTCCGTTTCGTCTGTCGCCTGTGAGATTCTCTCAAATATGGCATCTGCAATTCTGGGTATTATCCCCTTTGACTCCTCGTCATCGATGCTAGGTCCCATCATTGTGTATGTCTTACCGGACCCAGTTTGTCCATAGACCAGCACGGTACCGTTATAACCATCGAACAGATCATCAACGGTCTGTGATACTGAAAAGTCAAACACTTCCTTCTGAGAGCTGTCTGAATCAAACACCCTATCGAACTGATACTCTTCATCTTTGAACCTTGTAGTGTACTGATCCATCACAACATGGCACGTCTGCGACCCGTGGCTCTTCTCATTCTCCGCTTCTGGCCTGAACCTTGCAATGACCTTTATGGAGTCTCTATTCCTCGAGGTATCCTTCACCGGGCTTTTCAACGGGCTTTTCAAGGGAGTCTTCGCAGATGAGGGCGACATGTAGCTCAGCCTCTTTGAAGGGGTTCCTACCATCTTTGACAGGCCTGGTGGCGTATTCGAGATTGACACCTTTGATCTTCTGCGGGAGGAGGCCGTCGCTAATGCTGCGGTGGGTGACAGTGATGATAACGACGACTGACGTCTAAGCGATGACGATGAAGGAGACGATGTCATCCGCTCACGAGCAGTTGCATGAGATGTAGAGAAGCCACTGTCAGTCATCCGATATCTTCGTTTCGTGGTGGTTGCGAGTTGCTGTAAACATGTTGCGTGTTCAATGTTAGCGTGCAGTGGGAAATTTGCAGGCGGGAATGTATACAGCTGTACGATTATATTATGACGTTATAATAGTTATATTATAACAATTATCACAATTATCACAATTATAACAATTATATTATAAAGTTATAACAATTATATTATAACGTTACAACATTGATATAACCATCACCACGGTCATACTGTTATAACGGGCTCTATTTGATCTCAACATCATACACAACAAAAGGTTCGTACTCTGTGTCAACAAGGTTGGAGTACTCATTCAATGAGTTGTCCTTTTGCACCTTACCCTTCTTATCCACACTGAATGCATTCCCACCGAGGTACCCAAACTCATGGACCAGCTCCTTCTTTGCCTGGTCAACAGCCTTGAGATTAGGGATCTTGATGATGCTTGTGACAAAGTCTGGTGGCAGCCCGTATCTCAATACCGATTCAACAAAGACCCTGATGGACTTCAAGTGGAACCAATTGGAAGTGATATCGGAATACGCAGCTCTGGCTAGTCTAATCAGCTCTCCTTTCAATCTGTTCTCGGTCTGTGCTGCAACCTCGTGCTCCTTTCTCATCTCGTTCAGCAGCTCTTCAGAGTAGACAAAGTCCCTAGGAACGAACTTGGCCTCACGCAACGCCTGTGTGTAGTCGGCAATGTACTTCTTAAACAGGATAACGCTGTACAGTTGGAACTCAGAGTCCTCCTTGATGAGCTTCGCACTTCTTGGAACAACCATTGGTGTCAACGTCTCGTACGTGTTTAGAAACTCAGAGTGTAAGTTCTTTGGCACGGCAACTAGCAGAGTCTGCAGATGTTCAGAGTCGAGCACGAAATCAGAAGGTGACACGATGTCGTGGAGCGATCTCACTGATAAGTCACCGGTTTGTTTCCTCTCGGCAGCGGCGAGGTTGGACTTGGCTGTTGTGTAGTTTGCGTATGCGTTTCTAACGTCCGTATCCAGTTGGAACGCCTCTTCTGATATGGCGGAGATCAGCTCCTTCAGCGACTTGTCCACTCTAAACTTCGAGCTCTTCCATTTGAAGTGCTCGACGTAATCGGAAACCCACTTGTCATCCACCTTCTTCGAGGCATTGACAAGCGGCTGGTTGTTGTCGTACAGACTAGTCAGAACCTCCAGCACTTTGGTCACGGCATGGCCCAGCTGTTCGTCAATCTTCTGCAGCTCCTCACTCTGCAGCACCAACGAGTCCAAAGTACCGATCTTGAAGCTTGGAATCTCAATCTTGTTCACAACAGCCTTCCCGCCAATCAAACTCCTCTCCAACCATTCCTCAACAGACTGTGAAGGATAGGACTCAGGTGCACTCTTCGATGGCAGAGACAGCAGTAGATAATGTGCAACAGACCCGGACATCCTGTATAAAACCCGTTCGCTCTTTCAACTGTTCGCTCTCACGCTCTCGCACTCTCCAAAATGCACTCAATTGCGTTCCTCTAGCGAGCCCTTTCTCACTTGTGGTGATTCTACTGTGTCCCCCTGGTTGGCGAGGGGGGCCTTTGGGGGGAGGAAACCTCGTCAATTTTGCTGCAGCGCTTTTCTCCCTGCGCGGGCCGCCAGGTGCTTACATAAGCCACGGTAGGGTAACCGTCCCGCGAGGAGCGATCTCGCGCATCGCCATGGCAGCTTCCTGGCGATGGCCAGTGGAGTGTGCACCGTACTGAAAGTATGGGCATTTTGGCCAGTGTGATGATGATGTTGGTGGCCGTTCCTCCACGGCAACCGGTTCTAGCCGGGCTCAACAGCATACCCAAGCGTATGGCCAGGTGGTCACAGCTACGGTGGTTGCCATAGCTCTGCACCAGGCGAGATTACTCCCCGTGTGTCCCCTAACCGATGGGGTTGGCACCTCTCGAGAATTTTTTTTGCTTCTTTGCAGCTAACGATAGTGGGCCATCTCTCTGGACTCAGTGGACGGTATTAATTGGAAGACGGAGAATGAGCTCGTCATTGGAGGTATGTTCTCTGTGTCTGTGCGGTGGTGGTCGTGTGCTGTGTGCTGTTGTAGATACTAACGTGTGTTGTGAAGGAACGTCTCAAGTCCAACTCATCAGCGTTTGATGGTCTCTTGTCGTTAATCCCGGCAAAGTACTACTACGACGATGATACACAGGAGCAATGGAAGGCCAAGAAGCAGTCCAAAGAGGACGCGCACAATAACAAGAGGGCGAAGCTGGATCCGGAGCTTTCCCGTGAGAGTGAAAAGGCCGGCACTGCGGCTGCGGTGCTGAAGAAGAGGGCACAGTCTGCCAAACCTGTAGTGATACCAGGCCAGAAGAAGCAGGAGAAGGCTCAGGAGGCCAAGCAGGAGAACGAGAGAGCTGCTCCAAAGGAGCAGTCCGACGAGGATGAAGAAGAAGAAGAGGAGGTGAATATCATATTTGATGACGAGGGAAATGAGATTGTCGAAGAATCCGAAGAGTCTGACCATGAAGAAATGCCCGTCGAGGAGAAGAAAAACGGTAAGGACTTGAGTGACGAGGAAAAGAGAAAGAAAGAGGAGTCGATTAAGGCTTTGAGGGAGAAACTTGCCTCAAAGATCACTTTCATGAAGGAGAAACGTAAAGCCCCTGGCTCGAAGGCTAGCGGCGCACCATCTTCTCGTGAGGCCATCTTGGAAGAACGTCGTAAGAAAGCTGAGGCCCGCGCAGAGAGAAAGCGTCATCGCTTGCAAGAAGAAGGCCACGACGATGACGATGATGACGACAGCAACAATGACGATGACAGTGAAGCTGAAGAAGAGGACAAATCGGATAACGTCATCTATCAGAACATCGTCTTTGACGAGAACACTCGTGCAACTTCAGATTTACAAAACGTAAGAGTCGACAGGAAGAAAGGTCCAGCCAAGAAGGACTTGAAGGCCCATCTCAAGTTGGTTGAACAAAAGAAGCAAAAGCTGGAGAATCTATCTAAGGATAAGAAACAGGAGATAGCAGAAAGGGAAAATTGGAACAGAACTTTAGCAGCAGCTGAGGGACAGAAGCTGAGAGACGATGAGAAGTTGTTAAAGAAGGCCATCAAACGTAAAGAAGCCCAGAAGAGACGTTCTGAGATCGAATGGAGAGACCGTAAAGATCACGTTGAGAATCAAATAAAGGCAAAGCAAAAGAGAAGAGAGGAGAATTTGGCAATCAGAAAGGCGAACAAAGGTGTTAAACGTAAAAATCAGATCAAACAACTCAGAACATTCAAAACCTCAATTGCACCAAAAAGAGCAGGCTTTGAAGGCAGAAGAAGAACAAAGAAATGATTCACCAACATGGTGTCACACGTTATGTATGTTTAATTGATGTACTTATAATTGAAGCGTTGGTCTTATGTATCTTTTATTAACGACAACGTGCATTTCGTGTGTCAAAACCCATTAATCATCAACTCATCATCAGTCATTTCGTTATCATCATAAGCTTCGTCGATTAATTGCCCAACCCTGGTGCTCATCAAGAAGTCCTTAACTGCGCTGGCAATACCAGCCCCCATACCATCGTTGTCAATGCTCGTATGTGTTTCTATGTTGGCACCAAAATTTTCTAACTTCTTCCTACGGTCTTTGATAGCCCTGTTCACTCTTAGGAAATCAACATCATCATCGTCCTCCTCATCATCTGACGAGTCTTCCATGTTGTTGATGTAACTGTCAAAATTGCTCAAGAACTGCTGCGGAATTGTTAAAACACGGTCTTCATGTGTAGGGGATTCGTCTCCACTTGCAACGTTTTCAATGGCAAAGTTAGTACCCAAGAGATGGCTGCTAATGGGCAAGTTTCTGAGATTTCTCATCGGCAGTGCTTGTCTTAACCTATTTGTTGTTGTCGAGATATCACTCTCATAATCACTCTCCTCTGGTTTGACAAGTTTCTGTTGGACGGTGTTGTAGCTCTTGCAATTGTCACACTTCAGACCAAGGACATGGTATCGACATTGCGATTTCGCATTACAATCGTTACAAGTGATCACACATGTCCAATTGCAGTACGGTTCTGGTAATGGTTGTAGAGATATCTCCATGTCTAGAACTCTGAACTGTGCCTCCATATTCAAAACAGTCTTTTGACACGATGGACACTTGTAGGAATGCTTTGAGTGCTCATCAAAACAACTTTGATGTATTGCATGTCCACATAACATGAAAACAACTGGTCTTGTAGATGTGAACATGTATTCTCCACATATTGGACAATCTGATTGAGTAGCACGTTCAATACACTTATGATCATCTTGCAATTCAATCGAAAGACACGCATTACAGCCTTGACAGTGGAAGAAGTCTTGACCAAGGCCTAGCCCTAACCGACAGATGCCACAGTCATCACAGTGGTAGATATCTTTTAACTCATCATCGTCATATAGCTTACATTTGTCACAGAAATAATGCGCAAACTGTACATCACAGGCTTCACAGAATTGCGATGGATGTTGAACAGTGGAGCAATGCATACACATGACATGTCTAGTCTTCTCCCTCTTGAATTTGTGAGTAGACACCTGTTCATCGTGGCATTTGGGACATGTAAACCATTGCTTACAAGTAGGACACTCCATCTTACAGTGACGCTGATAGTGTGCGCACCCAAATGTCTCTTCATTATCATCGTGGAAAGTTGGTTCCTTATCATCCTCATTGATCAGCACAAGATCATCATCATCGTGCTCATCCCCATCATCCCCATCATAGTGTTCAGACCCGACATCTTCACTCCTCTTGGAAGCAGTTTTCGTATTGATGTGGAATATTTCATCACCGTTCTCATCCAAGAATTTCACTTTATCGTAATGAGCTCCCATCATCAATTTTTGAACAAGCCTGTTTTTAACCTCATCAGTAGCATCAAGTCCCCTAATCTGCATAATCCGATCTCTCAGCAGGGTTTCGTCCTTCTTTTGACCTTCAGTTAACTTCGTCAAGTTATTGTCCTTGAGCGTATGCCTTCTCTTACGCCTTTTGGGTATCTTATCCTGCGGTATAATCACCTGATCTAGCAAGTGAGTCTCCTTGGGCTCTGTAGCCTTATGGATCACATACGGCTCTGCCTCGTCCTGCTGCTCATCGTCGGTGGTATCAACGTTATTGGCTATTGCCTCATCGACCTGGCTCTCTAGTATCGTTCTTATGGTCTGAAACCTATCCAGCGCGCTCTGCAAAGAGAATCCACTCTTCAAATCGTCGATAAGGTTGGCCAGCTGTTCACGTCTTGACAACGTTTCAAGAGCAACGTCCGGCTCCTTGCGTGAGGTTGGCCATGAGAAGGATGGCATCCTCAACATTGCAAAAGAGCCAATGCCGTTCAGCTGCTGATCCAAGGAGTTGACTGAGTCAGACTCGGACCCAGAATCCAGGTCCGCCTCTGAGCCACTCAGATACGCATCGTCATCGGTCTGTACGTCCATAACGACCATCCTTCAATGCGAACACCGCGCTGTAGACGACTATCAGAGAGTAAACAAATGGTCAAATCACCCAATATGAACAGGGCCTGGGTAGCGGGTATTAAAACGTGCGCCGAAATCCGAGGGTGAGATGGCCTCGGACCGCTCTCGTATAGCAGCCAGAGCAGTGCTCAGCAGGGGCCATTGGGTGTTCAGAGAGGGTTACAGTGTGTTGATGGTGACTTCATTGATAGTCAGGATGCTACGCGTAAGCTACTGAGACGGCCCCTATTTCAATTGAGAGGTATAGTGCTGTTCCCAGGCGTGACCCGGGGGTGGTGATGAGGCAGAGGGTGGTGCGATAGGCTCGGATGTTAGCAGAGCTTCCAGCGTAAGTTTCAGAACAGCAGCGTAATTGTCATACTGATGACGTTGTGCTTACACCACCAAGCCCAGAACAGTGCGCAGTATCAAAACAAAGGAATACACACACACACACACCTTGTCGTTCAACATTGAGGAGCTTTATCACCTGTTCAGACCGACTAATCGCGATACAATGGCGCTGAACGTACTGAGCTTCATCAACTTTCAAGGAATCAAAGCGGATTTGTTGTCCAAGAACTTCAGGTGAGTCGGTTTCAGGGCTCTTCCCCCCACAGAACACACACTCTCTCAAGGTGGTGGTCTCCTGTGGTTCCGTTCCGTGCTGGTGAACAGCGTACTAACGAGTACATTTTAGCGTGTATGGACAATGGTAAGTTCTACGTCGATGTCAGCTCATACTAGTGGATGTGGTACTAACACGTGTGGTGTCTAAAGGAATGGTCTTCTCTGTGTCATTCTCTGCCTGGCACTCGGTATTGCGAATCTGTTTCATGTTAACGCTGTGATTGTGTTTGGTATCATCGCGATGTAAGTATCTTGTGCTATTACCCTGGCCTATGAAGACAGTTCTAACACGGTGATAGAGTACAAGGGCTGGTTCTTCTCTTTGTCGAGATCCCATTTCTCCTCAAGATCTGTCCAATGTCCGATAATTTCAATGCCTTTATCAAAAGATTCAACCAGAATTGGCCAAGAGCCATCTTCTACTTGGGAATGTCCGTCATCCAATGGTGCTCGATCATTCTGATGACAACGTCTTTGATTGTGCCTGCTATCTTCCTCCTGTTCAGTGCCATCTTCTACGCATTGGCTGCTATGAAGCATCAACAGTTCCAGAACTCTGCAGGCAATGTCATGCACACTGCTGAAACCTTTCCAACTGATGCTGCAATCAGAGAGATCTTGTAATTCCATCATAGTCTCTCTTCATCTTTTTTTTTGTCTCTAATGATTGATTCATTCCTTTTTAAACAGATGATGATGTAAAAGTCTTATCTTGTTATTAGTAACTACACAAGATGTACATGGTATATACAATCAGTATATATGTCTTCTTCTCGTTTAGTTATACAACCAGTACGATATAGTTGTTTGCTCCCCCAAAATTTTGATAATGCAATAAATGTATATGAAAGGAATGTGAATCTGATCAATACGATTCTTCTTCAATGAGATCAATATTTCTTGTTCTTGGTCTTCTCTCCCGTACGTGGATTCCTTTGTATGCCGATGTTCTCAGGTATGATGGAATTGAATTGAAAGCACGAGTTGTGATAAAAGAGCTTTATCATATATCACGACCGTGTAGTTTCCTCTGATGAGCCTTCATGTTATCTGCTCTATTGAACTTTTTACCACATTCATCGCATTCGAAAGGTTTCTCACTGGAATGGGATCTCATATGTCTCTTCAAATGTTCTGGTCTTTGGAATATACCACCGCAGAGCGGACATTGATGAGGTTTTTTGCCATCAGATGAGATGTCCGTCGCTGATTGTGACTTGGCAAGACGTTTCCTTGGAACCAAGATGTCGTACTTGGTGATCTCTGGAGGTGCAACGTGGGTAGTGAGGTCGATAGTAGAATGAGATCTCGAGAGGTGAGTCGCTAAAGGTTGCGAAATCTTTGGCAACTGGTTAGGAGGCCGTTGAACCGGCCTTTCGTTATTTTTTCTAGTTGATGAAGACGAGTGACGTTTTTCGTGCTGTGAATTGGAATCTTGACGATATTGACGACGATGCTGTTGAGTTTGCTGTTGATGTTGCTGCAATTGCTGCTGCTGTTGTTGCTGTTGCTGCTCGAGTTGATGCTTATGCTGTTGGTATCTCTGCTGATGAACTTGCTGATCAATATAGGACTGTGAAGGGTCTCCAGGGAACTGGGGAATCACCTGTGGAACAGCAGACTCGGACAAACTTGGGTCTGAAAGGAACGATGGTGGATCTTCGAGCTGAACACCAAGATGCTGTCCAGCAATCTGCAATGATAAGTTGGCTGCTGTAGCGTAGTCCTGATGATGAAGCATCATTGGATAAACAGACGATAAGGGTTCATGCTGTATGATTTCTTCGTCCTGGTATATGCTTGGTGTCATCGACGCCGTTGACACTGGGGATGCAACTCTTGGGGAGTTATTCGACGATGGGATGTAGAAAGGGTTACAGCGTGGAGATCTGCCTTCATGGGTTTCAGTGATGATAGCTGCGGCACCTGAAGCATCCAGAGAAAGACGGGAACGTGTTCTTCGGTGAGATTTGGTGATACGAGACGGCGTCTGTCTCAGCAGAGGTGAATTCGAGTTCACTGTTGAAGAACGACGGCGTGAACCCGACCGCATAGGCGTGGAAAGTAGTTGAGATGATGATGGTGTAATCGACACTGTTTGACGTTGCTGTGAAGATGTGGATGCCACTGCCTGCTTCCTCTCCACTTGCCCATACTGAGGCACAAACCCGCTGTTTTCAGGGAAGGACCCCAACATTTGCGTACTATCATTGTTGTCCATGGTGCTAATTATAGTTGATTCAATAGGAGGCATGTTTTCAGCATACACCTGACCATATTCTGCGATTCCATATGGATTCTGCCCTTGCAGTTGTTCTTGCTGCTGCTGCTGCTGCTGCTGTGGTTGCTGATAAGGATAACCATCATCGAGTGCCACACTGTTCCCTGACGGTGTTGGGTACCGTACCACGCCAACGTCAAAGAACGTGTTTGAAGATATCGGCACCATCTCCTCGTTAAAGCCTTCGTGTTTAACAAAGATCCCCGGCGCATCATCGGCATCGTTCTTCGCCAGATCGCCACCTCTGTCGAAGGCGAGCTCCTCCACCAAAGGGTGCTTCATCGGCGAGAGCTCAAACATCGGCGTTGGTGATCTATGCGGGCGTAATGGTGGTGAACTCATCGGAACGATCAGAGCCACTCTAACAGTCAGAGAATGAGCAACAGATCAAGAACCGCAGGCTGCGAGATGCTGAAAGGAAAAGGTCTGAAGAGGACACGCACACACAGCTGAACCTGAAAGGCGAGGAAAGTGACGACAAAGCCCCTGTTCTGTTCTATGTGATACGTCGCACACCGTCGAGTGAGAGTAAAGAGTGAAATCCTCAGAGGCCAATCTTCCCTATGAAGAAAAAACACCGAAAATTTGGTAATAAAAGGCACGCACGATACAACGACCAGTTCAATTAAGAGTGAAATGGCACGAGATGACCGCAGTTACACACACAGCACGACAGGCCTCACAGTGACTCGCTCAGACACACTGAATTGCACACTGAATTATAACACAACGCGCTGCAGACAAAGAGGAAAAAGGAAAAAAAAAACGTTACAAGGAGGAAAAGCGACGAAATCCAGCGGGCCAGTTCTAGGCGGACAGTTCTAGGCGGACGGGCAGGAAGACGGGCAGACCACCACTTTCTACGCAAAGTACACAGCACGCCATAAAGAACAAAGGGCCTCGTAAACGACGGCTCGTGGGCGTACAGCGAGGCCAGGCAGACCTGGTGGGCTCCACCATCGCTCAGTCGCCGCAACTGACGTTTGCTTCTCGTTTGCTCCCTCTGCTATGCGCCTTCTCGTCCCAACAGCATGAGCTGCTCAACCGTGGAACAACCAGTTTGCGCCCAGCGTCTTTGCAAGATTTGGCGGGAGCAGAGAGGCCGCTACCGCACACTGGGGGAGGGGGCGGTGGTGGTGTGTGAGTCCATGTGCGTGCGTAGTTAACGATTTAATCAACCTTTGCTACGGTCTAAATTTATCCAGTGGGCTGTTTTTTTCGGGACATATGGGTAGCAAGACAAAGTGGATCGGTCGCAGTGTGATGAGCGTTGGAACCATGGAAACAAACGCATAATTAAATCGAAAATGGGAGGAAAAGAGCAGAGAAATTATGAACTAAATTTAGTGCAGCCAATGGATTAAATTTGGCGTTTTGGCCCTCTCCCTCTGCGCGTCGAGGTGATTTCTGCAAGGTCCTGGGAGAGATGGTGCTGAGCCTTCTGCGTTTGGCGAAAATGTTCTAGGTGGCTGTCGCCTTTGGGACGAAGGTTACATGACGAGACGGGCACAACACGGTTGAAGGAAGGTGTCGTTCGACAACAGCACGCGTTGCAAGAGAGAGATTCCAACTCGCAGCTTGTAGAATTATACGAAGTGCAGTGGAGTGAGTGCCTACTCACGATGATCTGTGGGGTTGCAACGGTATAGGCGAAGAGGACTCGAGGAGAAATAATAAAGCATGCTGATTATTATATACAACCGTTGTAGATTGGATCGACGTGCTTTAGCCTTAGTGGTTGTAGTAGCCGGTTAATTGAGTTTTTAATATCAGGCTGTGAGGCTGCGCATGTATATTCCGGAAGCACTGGGCTGGAGAAAACAGCGAGCGAGGGGGCACGGGAGGGCACAGCAGAGAGAAGTGGAGGGTCGCGTTGTAGAGACCTTTCATGGAGTGTAAATGTGAGGAATTACAGTGTGGAGAAGACTAAGACGGTCATTCAGGGGTGTGAATAATCGCCTATTTGATGGATTGATCCAAATATGACCAGCTGATAGATACAGCCTTCTTTCTTTCCTTCTTTCTTTTTTTTGCCTCGCAAGGCCCAGTGTTTTTTTTGCTTTCACCTTGAAATGTCTTGAGGGTGTGAAACATCCTTTGGAAGGCTTTCTTGGGTGTAAAACTAGAGAAACTCTGGATCACCATGTCTTGACTAACGTCCTGACCAGCTGTTATCGTTGTGATTAGCGGAAGAATTGAATCACCAGAGCGTGGTACATTTTCCCGCAAATGCAAATGTGCAAACGACAAAAGTGACCCAAACACACCTGTATCTACTTCCAACCACCACTGGGTTGGATTCTGATCTAATTACGAGAACATTGAACCCAGTACATCATACACTGTACTCATATACAGCACACACAGAAAGCCCTTACTGTAACCCGCCCTCTATCCATAATTTCGCACGTTAGCTAAGACTCTTCATTCTCCCAACGTAAGCCTTCTTGTCTTGCCCTTTAAATTGCCTTGTCTCAGAACAAAACTGCGAAATTTCGTGACGCACATCATGAAACAAATTTTCGTGACGCGTTTGCAGCCTCGCAGATTTTGGCGTAATTCTCGTTCCTGATTCGGGCATAATGACGCTTGTGAAAACTCTGCCACAGAAATCGTGCGTCGGGGATGTCTTTTTGTCTCTCGTGTGTCTATTTTGTGTCACCTGTTTTGAACAACCTCTTTGGACAGAGGAAGGGAATACGAACCCGTTTTCACTCCTCTTGAGATCCACAGAGTACCGTGCTGGTGGCGAATAGAACAGTGGACGGTACAATGGAAGCCGTGCCGTTATTCTCAGAGCGCAACGGTCACACCAGGATGAGCTTCGAAAACTACGCAAACGTCTTAGCCGACACCCAGCATGACCTGGATGGAAAGATCTTGAAAGAGAAGCGACAAGTCAGGCCCGTTCTCAGTCCCAAGTCTCTCAATGGCGATTCCGCAGCGATGTTCACGCCAGCAGCCTCCAAGGTCTTGAGTCATGAATTGGTGTCGTTGGACTCAGTCGTACAGGAGACGGCGGTAAAGATGAAGAGAAGACACCATTGGTTTCAAAGGCTCAAATTGCCAATGTTTAGAAAGCAAAAGGATGAGACACAGCACGGTGATTCTCATCTCCTAACAAGCAGTAAGCAGCAGCTAGGCGAATTCAGCTGCTATAATGAATACAAGACCAATATAGAGCAAATGTTTGACGAATTTTCCACCTCAAGGTTCAGAGACGACGTCCAGATACCACTCTTCTCCCCAATCCACGCATTAGAGCTGGATCAGTTGGAGCAGTTGGCCGCAGAGGTGTTTGGAATGCCATCACTACTCGACTCGAGCGATTCTGAATCGATTCGTACGGCGGAGGACATCAATAAAGCGCAGTCACCTCTGTTGGACTGCGTGCCTGAGTTGAAAAGCATTCTGCCAAATCTGAAATACGCTCCAATCACCAGCGCAATATCGACAGGCTCTACTCGTTCCAATGCAGAAAACTACATGCCATTCACAAGTTCCGTGCAAAGCTCTAAAGAGTTGGTGTTAACAGCCCTGACTGAGGGCCCCAAGCCCTCCTCATCCGTCTACAGTGCTGTTAAAAGCGTATCAGACCCTCATGCTGGACATGGACTCATCCCTGAAGATAAAGAAGAAACTCCACTCTCCAGTGCCGTTTCATCAGAAGCACTAATATCATCTGGAATCTCAAATTTGCTCATGTCAAGTTCTCCAGATGGCAATCTGTTATCACCAGGTTCCCAAGGCAACAGGTCAATTACCGGGAGCAGCAAGTACATAAAGGGTACCAGCATTGCGCTTCTCCATCACAACGAAAGAATCCAAAATTGGTTGCATCACTCAAACTCGTTCCCTCTAGGGAAGAATCGGAAGCAGCATCACAGACCAGAGTGACTAGTGTCAAATTCTCTACAGTATCTTCATGATTGGAAAGAATAAATATGTATCAGATTTAAGCCAAGTAATGAGTAAGGCATATTAATAAATAATCTATGTACACATCATGGTATCAAATCACAACGGTGAAAGCTCCATGAAATGATAATAAACAAATAGTCTTACTCAAATCTCAGTGGATTCTCCAGCTTACTTGGATTGAGCAACGAAGTTGGCACCCTTGGCGATGTTCTTCTTCAAGGTCTCCTTGGCAACAGCAATCATCTCATCCTCGTAGTCAGCAAGCTCACCAAGAGCGTGGATGTGCTCGACACCGTTTGGACCCAAGGTGACGTTGGTAGCGAAGAAGTCGATACCCTCAGAGGCAAAGACTGGGTTCTCGATGAAAGTTGGCTCGATGACATCCTTCTCACCGTCGAAACCCTTCAAGACGGAACCAGCGAAACGGGCACCGGCTTGGGCCATAGACAAAGTGGCGGAACCAGCACCGTTCTTAGCCTGGACAACCTCATCACCACCGAATTGGATTCTGTGGGTCAAAGCCTCACGGGCCTCCTTGTTGCTCTCCAATACGCTCTTGTGCTTGGTTTGGGAGAGCAATGGGACAATGGTCAAACCGGAGTGACCACCGACAACGGTGACCTTCTCGGTGGTTGGGTCAGTGTTGACAACCTCGGAGAGGAAACGGGAAGAACGCAAAACGTCCAAGGTGGTGACACCGAACAACTTCTTCTTGTTGTAGACACCCTTGGCCTTGAGCACCTCACGGACAATTGGCACGGTGGAGTTGACTGGGTTGGAGATGACCAAGACAGCGGCGTTTGGGGCGTGGTCAGCAATGGCGGAGGCCAAGTCTCTGACGATACCAGCGTTGATGTTGAACAAGTCATCACGGGTCATACCTGGCTTTCTTGGAACACCAGCTGGGATCAAGACAACGTCGGCACCGGTCAACGCCTTCTCCAAGCCACCTTCCTCGTCTGGAGTGAAACCTTGGACAACAGAGTTGGTTGGGACGTGGGACACGTCCGCAGCAACACCCTTGGCACCCTTAAGATCGTACAAGTTGAGGCCAGTGACTCTGTGGTTGAGCTTCAACAAGAGCGACAATGGCTGACCAATACCACCGGCAGCACCGAGAACGGTCACCTTGTATGGGTTAGCAGCAGTGGAGGAGAAGGATCTTCTGGCAATGTTTCTGAGCATCGTTGTCTGTGTATAAGTGTATAGGGCGTTGTTAAACCAAAAAGGGGGCAATCAAATTCAATTGAAACAAGAAAGCTGGTTTATACAGGCCAAAACTAACCAGAGAAGGAGAGGAGAAGGAGAAAGAGAAATCCCTTCAGTTTTATAAAAGAACAGAGGGAAAAATTCACGATCCACAACGCATCGACAGTTGGCAGCTGATTGAGCACTCAACAGAAAAAGTGCATGACCTCTGTGGCCCGTGGCCAATTCTTCCCTAGCGGCTCTTCCTTATTTCCCCGTACAATTCGTGATCCAGATTACGTAATCGGCGTAGGGGCGCTTATGTAATGTGTGGCTCGCGCAGCCAATCAAGAGGCATCGTTGCTGGGGTCAACGAGATCAACGGAGCCGGGCTCTCTTTTGTGCGCGATCATCTCGGTAAGGAGCTGCCGGCGCACACAGACGTTGGCGTTGTTTCGCGAATTTGTCTGTCTGTCTGTCTGTTTGTCTGTGTTTGTTTGTCTTTGAGCGTTGTGGAGGCGTGGGCGTACCAGGGCTGTTGGACGGGACAAGAGCCCTTGGTGGGTTATCGATGGTTGTCCTCGCGCCAGATCTGAGCGTACGTTGCTGCGTCTGGTGTACACACACATGAGGTCTACGTGAGGTCTACGTGAGGTCTACGTGAGGTTCCGTGTAGTGGCCTGGCGCTGTGGTGAGGGCTGGCACACCCCGATGGCAAGGCGCAGGCAGGTGGGCTCTGTTCTGGAAGCCACGGACTGTGCACCGTGGCAAGGAATCTGCCCGTATGTTGCGCGCTGGTATTGAGCCTGTACGGATCCGATGTTGGCATGGATTTACACCCGCGAAGGACTCTTCTTCAGGAGCTTTGGGGCGTGCGCTACAGCTCATCGTTAGGCAAAGCATCAACGAGGGCATGGCTGAAACATAAAGTAAACGGGACCTGCATTATAATTATAATGAAAAACATCAGTGAAAACAACAACTATTTGTCTCTAGCTCTAGAACAATGTAGAGAGAGATGCACGAGCATAAGAATGGTGATATTTGACCAACAAGACACAAGAAGATTGGTGATCATATAGAAAGCCCAATGCACAGTCTAAGCGCCTTGCGGCAGCTTAAGACATGGTGTAAGTAACACCTGCTCTTGGGGCGTTAAGGATGATACCGTTGAGGATACCAGCAACAAGACCGGCACATGGCAAGGTAACAATCCAGCCCAAGTAACAGAAGAGAACAATTCTCCAGTTAACAGACTTGAGATCCTTGTTACACAGACCGACAAACACGGTGGCACCAACCGCACATTGGGTTGTGGAGACTGGAATGGCCAATTGAGTAGCCATGGTGACGGTAATGGCTGCACCAAGCTCAATACAGAAACCACGAGATGGAGATTGCAAGGTCAATCTGTTACCCAAGTTTCTCATGATGTTGTAACCGTAGGTCCAACAACCAAGGACAAGGGAAGCAGCGGTGAAACAGAGAACCCAGATTGGAACGTCGGACTTGGCAGCAGTGGTGTTTGTTTTCCAAACGGTGTAGACAGAAGATAACGGACCAGCAGCGTTGGAGATATCGTTGGAGCCGTGGGCAAAAGACATGGTACAGGCAGTGATGGCTTGCAAAAGGGAGAACAAGTACTCAATCTTGTTGTCGTAGTACTTGGCACGAGAGTGCATGTCCTTGATATCGTTGGAAAGAACACCAGTAGCAGAGACTTGGTTAGAAATAACATCTTGAGTCCAACCGTGGATGACAATCAACCACAAGAGACGTGGCCATTGGCTTGGCTTCTTCAACATAGAAAGCCACAACTCCTTGGTGGTTTGCTTTGGCTCCAATGGGGCAGTAGTAGCAGCCTCAGAGGTCTGGGTTGGAACAATCTCTTCGGTGTCGTACTTCTTCTCCAAGTCCTCAACATCTTGGTCAAAGTGCGCTTGTTTGTCCTCAGTAGCGTTGGACTCAATGTCAACCGGACCGTTGTTGTCGTACTCTTGGAATCTCTTACCTTTGTAGTAATCTGGAACCAGTTCGTGACCAGCTGGGATTGGTGGGATGTCATCGGTAGACTTGAAGTAGTAGTATGGACCAATAGCCATGTGGTACCATTTCAATCTCCAGTCCTCGTGCACAATTCTTCTTCTAAGGTATGGGAACATGAAGATCCAGTAAAGAACAAATGCGACACCACCGACACCGAAAATGGACCCAGCAACCTCTCTAGTAGACAAGTCATCCAAGTTAAGATTTGGAGCACCCTTCCATGTGATCAACATGGTCAAGATAGCAAAGGTAAGGTAGATCAAACATGGCATCAGCAAGAAACCGTTTCTCAATTGATGCTTTCTCTCCAAGACACCGTACTTAGAGATCAAGAAAACAATGGCAGCAAAACAACCAGCAATGGCTGGGGCGATGAACCAAGATGCAACGATTTGGGAGAAACCTGACCAGCCCCAGTGGATGTTTTCAGCACCAACGGCGGCAATACCAGCACCAATAACACCACCAACAATGGAGTGGGTAGTAGAGACCGGCATACCAATCGAAGTAGCAAGGGACAACCAAAGAGAGGAACCGACAAGGGCACAGGCCATGGTCAACATCAAAACAGCTGGCTTATCGCTGAACTCGCTGATATCAATAATGTTGTTTCTAATGGTACTGGAGACACGGGAACCAGCAAGAACGGCTCCCAAGAACTCCATAAGACCAGCAAGGATCATAGCTTGCCAGTACTTCAAGGAACGGGAGGAGACAGAGGAGGCGAACGAGTTTGCAACATCGTTGGCACCAATGTTCCAGGCATCCAAGAAGGCGAAGATCACCGCGATGGCGAAGATGTAATCAAACTGGTGGAGAGCCATAACGTCTGTATCAGCTGCTTGTGGATCTGCTTGAACGTGATGATGAACCAACAACCACACTTGGATACAGCAACCACAACAGGGATCTCCCCTCCTTATATAGCCAGAACTGCCGCCTAGGAGTGAAAATGGGCCTTTTTAGCCCAAACGGCGTATGTACGTACACCATCTACACTTTTCAGCACGCACTACGACGGAAAGCGGCCATCGAGGGCCCACATGGGCTACCCAATACAAAGCCATGTATGTATGATCGTCATACATGGCCACAGCCAAGGTTTGGCGAAGAAATTTTTTCATGCCTAGACATTCTTAGCTGTTCTAAGCTGTTCACACAAGTTTGGACAGATAAATTACAGCAACTTCAGCAGAATTGAACATTCCTTGGCTGAAAACAGTGTGAAAATGCTCAAACAGGCTTGGGCTTGGCAATGTGAGACGGACTTGCGCTAGGTTTAAAACGTTGCACGACTTGAAATGGGCAAGTCTGGAGTGTTTTACTGGGCGGAGAGCCGTTGTGAGCCTGGTGCCAGTAAAAAGCATCTGGTAGTACGGGCATCATACCGGTGTGTTCGACGTAATGTGAGTGCCCATGTAGAGGGTGGTCCCTGGAAGACGTTAGCCCCATGTTGATCTATGTAAGGGTCCAAATTTTGGTGGAGTTTTTTATTATGTGGTTGGTGTGTTTTTTGCCTTGCGGGACGGTGGGAGGGCCCGATTAGCCTGAACTGCTGCTGAAGTGGGCAGCCACGTTTTTGCTCTCCCTGGGAAGCGATCGCCTGAACTCTGCCTAATTTCTTGGTGGGGATCGCAGGCGAAAAAATAAACAAAAGCATGAAAAGAAACAATTGAGCCCACGGGGGGTCTCTCTGGGAGTTTACAGGAGGTCTGCAGCGGTTCTTGTAGATGAGAAGTTTCCGCTCTTGTGACGTTAACCAGCTTGGAGGCCTGGGACAGCGCGTGGGCTAATGGGCTAATGGAGGAAGAGGCGGCAGTCGTACGTGTCGTGCACGGGTGTGTCATGAGACCTGGAACTACGGTGGTAGAGTTGGCTTGTGGCCAACGTTGAGTGTGATATCGCGAGGTTTGGCGAATTGTGGTGAAGTGTAGTGATAAACGGGTGGAGGTTTGCCTCTGGGGTTGGGTTGAAGGTAGTCTTCCTGGGCTCTGAAGACCGGGTCAGCTATGAAAACGCCATTGCGTTTCTTTACATAACGTCACAGAAGTGAGCATGAGAGCGGTATCAACATGGGCTAAGAGTTTATCGAGGGAAACCGTTGCGAGGTCCACTGAGAAGAACGGGGAGCACTGGAGCAGACGACTCCTCCAATCAGGCGAACAACAGTGGCGAACGCCAAAGCTCACTTTATCGATAAACGTGTCCTTGCTTTGTCTGCCGCACCCGAATGCCACACGATTGGTGCTCAGACAACGTTCGTATAGATACATACCCTTTGCAGGGCTTCTGCTTTGTGTGTGCATGTGTTTAAACTGTAGACCGAATGACAATCAGTCGAGGCTTGAAGGTTAATGAGACCTGAGTGCGAACCAGAACGTTGAAACAAGCGACCATTGGAGCTCACCAGACCTGATCTGTGCCTCCGTGTAGAATAATTATAAGTTTAGCGAGTGATCATTGTGCTGTCTCGTGTGGTTTGATGTCTTTTGAGTTTCTCTCACATATGTTCATGTCCCGATATTCTTTCAATGGTACCTTCAACGTCACTGATTACGTCTGATTTGGACCTTCCCAGGTCGGGCTCTCCAACCCACAAGGTCTGATACCGATAGCCATAGACGGGCAGTGGAAACGCATGTTCGCCAGTTTGCACATGATCCTCTACACAACAGAAACGCTCGCCTGACCAGGTCTGTGATGTAAGTGCACGTGCTGGAGTCAGCTGAAAACTTGTTGGTGCACAGCTAAATTTTGTTCCTTTACACAATGGATCTGGGTACATCAGTGATGTAAGGAGGTATCTATTGGTTAACTCTGATGGTGACCAAAGCTTCAAACCTAGCAACACCACACAGAGCCACTCCTTTAACACCGGCTCCACTGTTTCTTATCTCTCTCTCTCTCTCGCGCTCATTGCCCTTTCGTCCAACACTCCCCTCCTGCTCCCTACTCATGTACCGTCGGTGCTGCCTCCGTGTGCACTTCTCTGGTGACCCCTTGTCAGAGAGCCCACGTGTCCCAGCCTATCTGCAACTCATTCGGCTTTATCTGCAGTGGAGTTTTGTGTCAAATTGTCTGCGTCATAAAGTTTGTTTTTTGCTTTTTTATGCATGAGCGCTTCCTGCATGCAGTTTTGTGTTGCCCGCTACCGAGAAACGTGTTGAAGCTGTAGGCTGTGCAACCATCGCTTAGCTTCACACGACCACCTGCCCTATTGTTTGGGGCTTTAACAGTTGCGGGAGGACTGTTCTGCCTGTTAGTGTTGAAACATTGGAGCACGAGAGGGAGGAGAGACGTTTGTTCACTAGGCAGAGCACAAGTGTTCATGTGAGGGTGAAAAATTGGCAATTGCTGAGCAAGGCTGTACCTGAGAAACGCTTGGAACAGCTACTCGCTATCCAGTTATCAGCCATTATGCCAGCATTGAGCGGTGTGTGAGTAAAATGTACACAACGCTCTTGCGCTCCTATGTTCTACACGGGTTCAGTTCGCTCAAACTGGTCTGGAGGGACGTGTCATTAATTCTAAACAGTACACCAAGGCTCATGTGCTGACTCGTAGTGTTCTTCTAAGTGTCCTGCCCTGCACGCTGATTTGCCTTGTTCGTTGGAGTTATCAATGTACATATAGTACCGTATCTTATCGTATAGTCCACGTGTAGATGTGATATCGCGCCCTGGTGTCTGAACTAGCAATAGCTTCCCCGTACATATACCGTTTACACCTTTGGGTGTAAATGTGTGCACTGTACATATGTGCACTATACATGTTTCAAACGATGTGTGTTTTTCGCTCCTGTCTGTCCTTCGCTCAAGCGTTTGAATCATCAGGCTTAGTGCTTGGAGAGCTCTCTGGGAAAAACGCATCGAGAGATCCACCCAGGTATAACTTGAGTTGATTTTTCGTAGCTGGAAGAACTTTACATTTCACCTTACCTCCACCAGCGCGTTCATACGCTTGGAAGCGATGGCACCCACCAAAGGCAAAGTAGTAGGTACGTCCTGACTCCCTCACTGCCAGAACATCGATAGGAGGTAATTCGCCATTGGCATTGACGGCTTGCTCTAAGGTACACGTGCTCGATGCCATAGGTTTCCCTTCAAGTGTCGAAGCCATGGCAACGATTTTTGATTCGTCTAGAACTGGTGGAATGGGTCTCTTTATCTCTGAGAGCGGCAGGTATGTGATCTTGCCCACATGACCGGATTGGATAGAGCCAGACATAATTCGTGTGTGTGTGTGTTGTGTATGCGTGTATATGTATCCACTATACCAGTTCCTCACGACTCGATATTCTATGGAGCGAGCCTCTTTAAATAGAGATGGCAATCATCTTCTGGAAGAAACACCCACTTTTGTTGCTTATAAGAAGCTTTGAACCTCGACCTCCAATCACTTAGAAATCATATTCGGTAGAGGACACACTGTTGACAAATCCCACGCTCTGCTGGTTTTGTTAATTGCACACATTTGTAATACTGTCCGATGGCTATAACAAGGGCCGTGGCTTGTGACACGTCTGTTGATCATTACCTTCCGGCGCTCTCTGTCTTGTTGTCTATTGTTGTTCTCAGTCTTGCTGCCTATTGTTGTTTTCATTGGTGGGCTGATGGCATCCATCAAAGCGTGCGGCCAACGTGTGTTCCATCTTGAAATGTATGGAGCACTCAATATGGGTGGGGTTTGTTAGCGGTGTATAGCGTCTCCGTAGGCTCTACTGTTAGTCGATGCCATTGGCTGTAATATTCTGTCGAAGAGTGAGCTATGGTTGGTCAACCGTTGCGTGTCGTGATTGGGACCGTACACGATATATGAATTGTTTCCACAGTCAAGGTACAAAGTTCAACGTCTGTTTGACGTATATCCACTGACCATCTCCAACGATTGATAAGCCAACGCCTTGCAAGGCGAGAGCACCTTATTGTACTCATAGCGCAGGGTTACCACTCGTGATACAAAGGTACAAACACGCTTGATAATACTAGACAGTCCCTTCCACACCATAACGAACTGAAAAGAGACCTCAAGTCAGTCCATACAACCAACACCTGTGCCGGCTGTTCTGATAAGCGCCTACGTAATACGACATAGAGCTGGTCCATAACCCAAAATCAACCCCAATTCACTCGCATACCATCGCTCTGAAGCTCGCCAGATCCACCAGCACCAAGACAGAACAAGAATTCACACGCTGCGACGCGTCGCACTACTCAAGATACGCACGTAAATGAAAATCCGCCCACACGCGTACGCGTCGCGGCCTCGACGACTTTCGCGTCGCTCCGAAGGAAAAACCCACACACCAAAAAATAAAGTTCCAGAACCGCATCTGTGTGTCCGCTACCATTAAAACCTCTTAGCGTGGTCCTACCATTTATGCGTTCCTTGCAGAGAGTTCGAAAACCACATACATATGTTGACAAAAATAGACGCTCGTCGAACCTTTGAGGGAATCTCAACCTTCCTCTTCTGCCTTTGAGATTGGAGCAAATATTCGTTGCATTTTATCATCTCTTCCATCAACTCCATTGTTGAAGCCCAGTTGTCGATCCCAAGTCAAAAGGCCCCCTCCAGATCGTCTTTTTGCACCACCAGAATTGCTCTTCCTAGCCGTAAAATCGCTGGTTGTTGTGTGCGAGTTGTGTGTGTGTTTTTTTTAGATCACCGCGGAGTGGCTCTCGGCATTGTTTAGTTATTGCCCTTTTTAGCCTTGTTGAATCACTATTTGATACCCGCCGGGGTTCCTGGAATTCAACAGCTCATCTTTGACACACGGAAGAAGAAGCCGATCGACTCTCCATCCATATTTATTGCAACGGCGTGCTTTGGCTTCGAACTCACCCTCTCACTATATCGGCACGGGAAAGGTTGTGATAATGAGTGAAGGATTTGACGAGGTGGACATCAACGTTGTTGGTGCCCACAGACCACGCAGAGAGTCTCCTCTGGCGTACATGTACAAGCAGAGACACAGCAACAACTTGAGGTCGTCGCTGGCGCTGATGAATGATAATTCGTATGAGACGTTGCCGATGCCGGATGTGAAAGACTCGCCCAGGGCTCAGAATAGTCCACTTAGTACGAAGATGAGCAACACCGCACAGCCAAACCCGGTGGTGGTGCAACGGAAGGTTGAATACTCACCTTCGAAGAGGCTCAAGAAGAGTAGGGAAATCAGAGGACAAGACTTGGATGACAAGCTGACGAATGGAGATGACGATGAGGACGATGAACTGGACGACTCTGTCATCATGTATGATGTTCCGCTATCACAATCTCTGGTGCAGCTCTCAGAGAACCAAAAGATGGTTGGTTCTAAGAAGCTTATGAGTTTCACCTCTGACACTACGAGAACTTCCAGTATCATGAGCTCTGGTAACTCACACGATCTGAACTCGGATTTTGAGCTGGACGTTATGAACGACGATGCCATGAAGTTAACCATGGAATTCTGTAAGTCTGATTCTGTTCACGTCTCACAAGAGTACGATGCAAGAAGGCACTTGCTCAATCAGATCGAAGTTGCCAATGGGATCGAAGACTCCCATATCCCACCAAGTGCTATGAAACAGAAGCTCTTGGCTAGTACAAGACCTTCCCACCTACCACCAAAACCAAAGGTTGAAGCGCAGAGACATTTGAGACAAGTTGAAAGACTGAAATCTCAGGCTCTAAAGGCGGAATTGGCTAATGAACAAGCACGTTTAAAACATATAAAGGAGCTGGACAGGTTGAAATCGCAGGACTACCTCTATTGGGAGAGGAAAATCATTCCAAACTTCGAAGATATGATTGAGAAGTCTTCCACAAGGGAAGTCTGGTGGAGATCAGGGGTTCCTAACAAGTATCGTAAGTTCGCATGGGTTCAGCTGTTGGCTGTGAAATCAGCTTCCATATTGAAAACTCTGCCCGAGCTACGCTCAAAGGCTCAGAAATTGATCGATTCAAACACCCCGTTGGTCCAAAAGCTAAGTGATGAAATTGACAAAGTGTTCATCGATGTTGGTTCATTTCAAACATCATTGAACCAACCTCTGCTGCAGGTTTTAACGATGTACTATGTTCAAAACGATATAAAGGCACCTGTGAAGGGCCTCTGTTCATTGGCATCCATCTTACTCTATAACGTCCAGTCCGTGAATGAGACTTACTTATGCCTCTGTGGGCTACTCCAACGCCATGTCTTGAAGTCGTTATATGCCAAAGATATGGATAGATTTCACAAGGAGGCAGAATCGTTCTTGAGAACTTTTGGTCGCTTAAATCCAAGGCTTTCACAGCATATCACAAGAGATTTGAGATTACCACCGGAGAGGTACTTGGTTCCACTGTTGCAAACGATGTTTGCCAATCTGTTAAGCCTGGAGATGTGCAGTGTAATCATGGACGTGTACATATTTGAAGGTGACTCTTTCTTGTGGAGATGTATTCTCACTCTATTCGACAAGATTGGCTATAGACTATATGGTAACGAATCTGAAATCTCTGATGTCATTGGCTGGGATGCACTGAGGAAGCTCAACGACAAAAACGTTGATAGAGAACTTTGGGTTAGGTATTTGGACTTGGGACATCCAATGGATTTTTTGGACTCTGTTAGAAAGATCTTGAAGAAATGAAATGAACTGTACGATCTATGTATAATATGCTGTTTACTTATGAAGGTCTTATGCTTGTGTTGAAGTTTCTATAAATTGATGGAATTATTGGTATTATACTTCGACATTGTAGGTATTAGAAGTTTGAAAACAGAAAAGACGTTATATAAGATACAAGGATTCACACATGGTGATTTTGGGCTCGAATAGGAACTTCATTGGTATCCATAGCCTTGATATCCCTGTTGGTAAAAGTGCTGTTGCTGTAATTGAGGTTGTTGAAACGCCCCAGTTTGCTGGAATGTCATCCCAGTTTGCTGCTGTTGCGGTTGCTGGTATGACAGGCCGGTTTGTTGAATGCTCATCGCCGATGGCTGGCTCTGTAACTGGGGTTGTTGTACCTGTTGCAAGAACCCGTTTGACTGCTGAACGTTCGTTGGCTGACTATAGAGACCCATCAACTGAGCTTTGTTGATGCCAGTTGCCTGAGGCTGTGCGTATCCTGTCTGTTGCTGTTGCTGTTGTAGCTGCTGTTGCTGTTGTAGCTGCTGTTGCTGTTGTAGCTGCTGTTGCTGTTGTAGCTGCTGTTGCTGTTGTAGCTCCCATTGTTGCTGCTGAACTGGGTCCACATAGATAACACCAGTAGCAGGGTCCAGGTACTGCTGTGGCGGCTCTGTCATTAACCCTGTTCCAGTAACGCTGAGAGATCCAGGTGTGCTTACGCCTGTCGCACTTCCAGTTAGCCAACTCGATGAGGACGTTGGCGCCTGCACTGAGGCCTGTTGAGCACCTGCTGATGTTGATGGGTTTCCCTGGCTTGTGCCCGGTCTTCTAGGCAGCGCAGGCTTCGACTGGTCCGAACTATCCAGTATCTTCGACGCCAAGTTCAAGTCTCCCTTGGCTAACACAAGCGCCTCGTAGTTATCATCAGTGTTACGATACCCCATGTTCTTCAGCTTCGGCTCCAACTTCTGATACTTGATGCGCTTCAGCTCAGGGATGTCCCGATGTGTCAACGACGGAACGTCACGAGAACCACTGCTTAGAGACTGGCCGCGAGATCTGCTTCTCGCTCTGCTGCCGCTGTCACCACGTCTCCCCAGGTTGTAATCTTCACTGGTGGGCTCACTATACCGGAACTTACCAAGAACGTACTTGTTTCTCACGTACATGAATATCTCATCCTTGTCATCGTCGTCGTAAGGGAAGGGAACATCCTTCGGGTTCCACAGCTGCTTGGCCTTCTTGTTGCCCATCGACGCTAGGCTGTCGATGTCATCGTCTGTCCATCTGTCCAGCGTAAGGCTCTTCACAACAGACACATCGTCTCCCAGCTTTCTGTGTACGGAAGCACAACGGCCACAGAGGAACACTCCGAGGTTCACCGACGCCCAGGTGGGATACGTCGCACCACATTCACCACACTTGTTCCGGTTAGATCTGTCGTTCAACAAGTCCAAGAGCTCGTGCTCGATACGTTTCTGGTCACGTTTGCCCATTGTATGCTTGTCTGGCTGGTTTGGTTGGTTCAATGGTTCAATGGTTCAATGGTGAGGATTAAAGAGAGGAGGTGTGCGAAGGGCTCAACGGGATTAAATTTCGCTCTCTGGGGGTTTTTCCCGCAAAGCTGGGGCTGCTGAGGGTTTTCGCTCTGCCCGCGCTGGCGCTGCGTGGAGTTTTCGGGTGAGTTTTAGCAGGGACGCCGGCGGGGGCTCAGCGCAGGGGGCGGCCTAGCGAGCACACCCAGCCCAGCCTAGCGAGAACAGCACACCCAGCCCAGCCTAGCGAGCACAGCACAGACAGCCCAGCCTAGCGAGCACAGACAGCCCAGCCTGGAGGGTTGGCCCGTTGAGCCTGGGGCGGTGGGCTGTGAAGGAAATGCTGTGTGTAGCTGCCTTTGTAAGTGAACATGTGGGCTCTGTGGAGCGTGATGGTGGTGCCGGGTCTGTCTGCAGTGGTTGCTGGAAGGAGATGCTCTGCCTGTAGGACACGCAGCCACGTCCATTGCGGTTCGATACAGGACAAGTTGTAGGTTGTAATATTAAAGAGACGGAGCTCGCTCGGTTACCGAGCTCTTTATCAGCAATTGGGCTCAAGAACAGGGTTGGTTAAGAGCGAGAAGCGTGGCCTATGGATAACCTATTGGGATCTCTAATGTGATATGCTGGGTGTTCCACTACCCAAGTTGGAGAGACTGTGCAAAATCAAAGACAAAGGCACCACTACAATGGTCTTAAAACCTCAATCGATAGTTTCACCCTGTGACACCAACAGTTAACATTCTCCCACCATGAAGCTTGGAACAATACCGTTCATTGTACTAGAATGATGTTGAACACCGAGAAGACACGCTCTACTCCCCCACCACCTCCCTTCCCAACGCTAATGGAGGCCTCCAAAGACACTACAACACACCAATGGCCGTCTTTAAGCAAACAGCAACCACCGACACCTCGTGAATCTTGCTTCGATTATCGATAAAATGTGTATATATAATACTCTCTTGAACACTCGTTGCTGTGGTAACCGCCTCATGCGCTCCCCCCTCCCCATCTCGTGGTGTGCGGGTGTGGCTGTTGATAAGGCGGCACAGTTGTTCAACACAACAGGCCTCACACTTCATTATTACTCATCCAGGCTGTGGCGGGATATCTCAGCGTGAGGGAAGCTGAGCCCATAGAACGAGATGACAAAGGGGCCGCACTCGACAAACAAGCTGCTGTCGATACAATCACACGTTATACATGGGTATGTTGGTAACAGAGCAGCGACATTCCCGCTTCAAATGCGTGGATGGGACGTTGATTGTTTGAACACCGTTCAATTCTCCAATCACCCAGCGTATGGGAGCTTCAAGGGCACCAAGTTCGGTCCTGAGACCCTGAAGGAGTTCTACAGAGGACTGAAGGATATCGGCATCAATTATGATGCCGTGCTGACCGGGTACGTTCCGAGTGATGAAGCGTTATCGGTGGTGTTTGACATGTGTAAAGACCTTGCAAGCCATGGGGTTAAATGGATCTTGGATCCCGTGCTAGGTGATAATGGTAAAATCTACGTTAGCCAGGGAAACGTTGACCTGTACAGGCATATACTGAGATGTGGGTTGGTGTCTGTTGTCACGCCAAACCAGCTAGAATTGGAAGTGTTAAGTGGTGTCAAAGTTACAGATCTTGAGTCGTTCAAAAATGCCATTGATACATTTAACGAGTTATACAACGTTGAGAATTTGATCGTTACAAGCGTACAGCTCTCGAATGACTCGGCAAGCTTGTATAGTGCAGGCTCTACTCGTATTCTTCAAGGTGTCTTCAAGTCGTTTTATTTCAAAGTGCAAACCATCCCTGCTCAGTTCTCAGGCTCTGGTGATCTGTTCAGTGGATTATTGACAAGTGCCATCTACAAGTACAACGAGAAATATGGGTCGAGTGTTAACATTAATACCCAGCTGGAGAACTTACCACTTGCATATGCATTAAACGAAGTGTTATCCATAGTGGAGAAAGTGTTGACGTTAACCTATGAACATGAGCTTAACAAATATACATCTAGGAGCCAGCCTGTTCCATCATATTTGAAGATCAATGATCTTAAACTCATCCAGGCAAGACATTACTATACACAGGAGCTACGTAACTTCACTGTGCATTCTTTTTAATGGTGTACGTTTCTATTTATCGATGTCTCTCTTTCCTAGTCCTTAGCATTTGGATGATATCCCTCTTGGTTGACTTAGATCTGGAACTTCCATTCGTTTCTTCTCCTGTGACTTTCCTCTTCTTCATGTTTTTAGAGAATGTTGGCTTGAAATCTAGTGCTTGTTGGAAACTACGACGCCATTGTTCGTCGTCGCACTGAGGTAACTCCACCTCTGGGTACTTTTCCTTCACCTTTCCATATATCTCTATTGCATTTTGTAGAGAAGAATTTGAATCACTGGTCACATTGAGTCTAATCACCAGGTCGAAGAAGTGATCGGGTTCTCTTTTCACATCGACTCTCTGAAACCTCGAAACAAACCCTCCCATTATCTTCTTCACATATTGATCACCATCTGATATAGCCTTGATCGATTGGTGGTTATCGCCTCTACGGCTGACTCTCCTCGTTGTTATCCCCCATATGTCCTTAGATCTTGGTGATTTACCACCAAGGAAGTCCAGACATACAAACCTGACGTTACCCAGTTTATGGCTCCCGGTATTGAGTTCCTCGAAGTCTCGAAATATCTGTTCTCGCTCTCGTTCTAGGTGGTTGTTTCTATCCAGGACAACAATAGACTTATTCTCACTAGCCAGCATATCCAAGCACCGCTGCACAAACAACTTGTTGGACTTCCTTCCTTGGGGAACCTCATCGTTGATAACAACGCCTACATGTTCCCGCAAGGCTCCTTGTAACGTCAACGCGGTGGTTGTCTTCCCGCATCCTATCACAGCAACAGGCACCAGGACTAGCTTCAGCGGGCATGTGAGGGCTCCACTGGGCACCAGCTTCATGTCAACCCCAAGAGACATCTATGGGAGCCCTCATTGTCCCTCCAGTGCTCACATAAAATGAGTCTCATCGCATCACTAAGCCATCATCGGAGACCCCACGCCATATAAACACCCGGACATCTCACCATCCGGACACCACATGTGACTGCATGCATCTATGACGTCATAAGTGCATTCTTTGTTTTTTTTCTTCATGGGCTTTTGCCGTGGTTATAAAAATAGGCACAGATTGCCATAAATTTGGTCTCATCTTCCAGTTTCACTGCTGTACCTGAATCGCCAACGGTTCTCTCTGGTTGGTGAGTTGATCTTGAACGACGTGGACTAATTGATTCGACAGCCTGGCTGTTGCCAATATGCGAGGAAATCGGCTTTTTTCTTGTGTCGGACTTCCCTGTTGGCTTAGAAACGACTCCCACTGGTGTCATTTTAGGTGCAATTCTGGTATTAATTGCTTGTCCAAGTTGGCTCACGTCCCGGCTGAAGGTGCATCTTCGAATGCGATGCGTTCATGTCCAAGTGCGAACGATAACTTTGATCTCCTCCATCTCTTCAGCTTGCCCTGATGTGTTCTGTCACTGTAATGTTGTAGCGAAAACGATAGTAGAGATCTTCCAAGCGTGCAGAGGTATAAGCAATGATCGATCTTGGGCTCCCAATAATCCCATGTAGGAACAGTTTCTGATGTCAGCCACTACCGTTGTCCAATCCATGCTGAAATGAAGTGTCAATAACTGAGGAAAATACACAGTTTTCTCTTCAAAGAGCACGTCTCTTATGCACACTTCTGTCCCCATCGTTCCCATTACGCAGCTCAACATGGTGGGAAGCACTTTACCTCGTGCGCATTGGACGTACCCCTTACACGATTTCTTAATTTGGTGCTCGTCCACCGACTTGTGGGTGATTCTCACATCTGCACTGGTGATTAACGACGTAGTGCAACAGGTTCGTCAGGATGAGAGTTTGCAGAAAATAATATAACCAGGTCTTTTCTTTCCCTTTCTATTTTTAATCCTTCTTCTTGATCTAAAATCGTCGACATCGGCATATATCAACACCTGTCAATCGCCCGTGGAATTACAGTTACAGTGCGCTAAAAGGTGATGAAGAACCTGCTGCTGGAAACAATGACTTGTGAAGTTCTCTCACTGTTGCAATCACAGCAGAAGCTTGAGCAGGTGGTTAAGAACCCAGCCCAGTTCGAGAAGTTCCGTCTTGATGTCATTCAAACTCTTGAACAACAACAATGTACGATAAGCACTTTACAAACAACGTCTGCAGTGAACAGAAGGTCTTTGAGTGCACTTGTGAAGAATTTGAGCCGTGTTGCGGACGGTGACTTCCCTGAGCCCTTGGACATAGAAACGAGTCCTATGGTTGATCCACTGATACGGGACTTACAGCACGCCTTCAACCTCATGATGTGTGAGATTGGAAGCTACACCAGCCAGGTCACCAAGATCGCAACAGAGGTGGCACACGGTGAGCTTGGTGGTCAGGCAGAGTACACTGGAACAAAAGGTGAGTGGAAGGTTCTCAGCGATACGCTGAACACGATGGCTTTGAACCTGACGAACCAGGTTAGAGAAATAGCTGACGTTGTCAGATCAGTGGCAGATGGTGATCTCAGCAAGAAGATAAACGTCCATGCCCAGGGTGAAATCCTGGAGTTGCAAAACATCATCAATACCATGGTTGAGCAGTTGAAGACCTTTGCCTTTGAAGTGACCAGAGTCTCCAGAGAAACAGGTGTTGAGGGCCGTCTAGGAGGCCAAGCCGTTGTTGTCGGTGCAGAGGGAATATGGAAGGAGCTCACAGATAACGTCAACGCCATGGCTACGAACTTAACTAACCAGGTGAGAAACATAGCCAATGTCACCACTGCAGTGGCGAAAGGTGATTTGTCTAAAAAGGTCACTGCAGATTGTAAAGGTGAAATCTTGGAGTTGAAGATCACCATAAACCAAATGGTGGACTCTCTACAGACCTTTGCTATGGAGGTAACATCACTTGCGACAGATGTCGGTATAAAGGGTATCCTTGGAGGTCAAGCCGTCGTTAACGGCGTTGAAGGTGCTTGGAAAGATCTCACTGATAACGTCAATGCGATGGCCACCAATTTGACGAACCAGGTGCGTTCAATTGCAACAGTCACCACTGCAGTTGCACATGGTGACTTGTCTCAGAAGATCCATGTTGTTGCCCAAGGTGAGATCTTGGAGTTGAAGAATACCATCAACAAGATGGTTGACTCTCTACAGGTTTTCGTCTCTGAAGTGACTCGTGTTGCTAAAGATGTTGGTGTCGAAGGTAAGTTAGGTGTTCAAGCCCAAGTATCTGATGTTGATGGACTCTGGAAGGAAATCATCACCAACGTGAACGTCATGGCAGCCAACCTTACCTCACAAGTCCGTGCCTTTGCTCAAATAACGGCAGCTGCGACTGATGGTGATTTCACCAAGTTTATCACAGTGGAAGCCTCTGGTGAGATGGATACCTTGAAGACGAAGATCAATCAGATGGTTTTCAACCTGAGAGACTCCATCAAGAGAAACACTGCTGCCAGAGAAGCTGCAGAACTGGCAAACAGTGCCAAATCTGAGTTCTTGGGTATCTTCTCCCATGAGCTGAGAACCCCTTTCAATGGTATCTTGAATTATACACAGTTAACTCTGGACACCGAACTGACACAGTATCAACGTGAAATGCTGAGTACGGTTCATAATCTGGCTAATTCCCTGTTGACAATTATTGACGATATTCTTGATATCTCTAAGATTGAAGCCAATAGAATGACTATCGAGGAGGCAGATTTCTCACTGAGAGGAACTGTATTTGGTGCTTTGAAGACCTTGGCCGTCAAGTCAATAGAGAAGCCGTTGGAACTGATATATCAGGTTGATAACTCGTTCCCAGATTCCCTGGTTGGTGACTCTTTCAGGTTGAGACAAGTGATCTTGAACTTGGTTGGTAATGCCATCAAGTTCACATCAGAAGGACATGTTAAACTAATGGTGAGAAAGGCAACGAAATCTCTTGATGAAACGATATCCACTACTGTCCAAGACTCAAAGTATGTTGTTGGGCCTGCAGATGTGAATATCAAGCCATCTTCAAAGTCAGATCCACTCATGCTTGAATTCTGTGTTAGCGATACTGGTATTGGCATTGCTACGGATAAGCTGGACTTGATCTTTGAGACATTTACCCAAGCTGACGGCTCCACTACAAGAAAGTTTGGAGGTACTGGTCTTGGTCTGTCTATTTCCAAGAAGCTCATTCATCTGATGGGAGGTGAGATCTGGGTTACCTCCAAATACAGAGAGGGATCCAGGTTTTACTTCACTATATGTGTTACACCTGCACAGGAGAACCCTTTTAAGAGAGATGAGAAGCTTCTAACCTTCAACTTACACCAAATATTGTTTGTTTCCACGAGGCACTCCCCAGAGGACACAGAACAGATTAGAAAGGACTTGCTTGAGCTCAACCTGAGACCAACAGTTGTGCGTGATATCTCAGAGGTGAGCGAATCTGAACAGAGTAAGTTCGACGTGATTATCATTGATTCTCTTGAAACCGGGAAGCAACTACGTGATCTTTCTGAAATCAAGTATATTCCATTCGTTCTTCTCAATCATAAGATCCCCAAATTGAATATGAAGGAATGTCTCGATCTTGGTATACAGTCCCATGGTAATACGCCTTGCTCTTTGATGGATCTTGCTGGCTATCTCAACCCAGCATTGGAATCTCGTGTTGTTCCATCAGATGACAATACTCCACAGAAGTACACGATCTTACTTGCAGAAGATAACTTGGTGAATCAAAAGCTTGCGGTTCGTATTCTGGAGAAGTACGGGCATGAGGTTGTCGTTGTACAGAATGGTGAAGAGGCCATCACAGAGGTCAAACAGAACAAGTACGACGTTATACTGATGGATGTTCAAATGCCAATCATGGGAGGGTTTGAAGCTACTGAGAAGATCCGTGAATGGGAAAAGGAGATGCGTCCAATAAATCCCCTGAGTATAAGAGTTCCAATCATTGCTCTAACAGCTCATGCAATGTTAGGAGACAGAGAAAGGTGCTTACAATATCAAATGGATGAGTACATCTCAAAACCTTTAAAGCCCAACCTTCTGATTCAAACAATAGCAAAGACGGTTCACCATATAGGTAAGTTGAAAGAGCTTGATCATAGAGATCCTCGGGTACAAGCTATCATTGGTAAAGTAGCTTGATGTATTATTCCTTTTGTTTCGCCCTTCTTTTAGCACCGCTTTAATCTTTATTCATTTCTTTTGGTAATCAAGCTTGTTAGCTACCTTAAAGGACCCATAGACTTATTGGATGAATCAAGTGAATCAACAGATGTATTCCCAACCGACCCTCTTTTGCTCTTCGTAGCATTAAGGATAATATCACGTTGTTTGACACCGACTTTCCACACATCAGGCTTCAGCTGACCATTCTCCACTCCGGGGCTCCTAATAACCAAGGAGCCATGATCAACTGCAAACCCAGGTTTCGTTAGACCCAAGATCTTGAATACTTCCCTGGCGATAATTCCTCTCGTGAATTTCTTCCTCAAGGTAGATGATTGCTCAATAACTTGGTTCAAATGTTGAGTCATCAATGTGCCTCTTAGGCAGTCCATCCTGGGATACAACGAAAGGTAGATACCGGAATTGTAGTTATCACGTAACGTCAAGATGGTTCCCTTTCTCCAAACTTCCACTGGAAACTCCCTATCATCAGGACGGTAGAACGGCCATTTGACCAGTTCAATCAGATCGTCAAACCAAGTTGAGCGACTTTCCTCGTTGCCTATTTCAATAGCTTTCTTCCGTCTAATCCTTTGTAGAACGTCATCACAGCTACGCTGGAGCAGGAACAACGCCACAACAAGGGCATTTGCCAATGGCACTGACTCTTCAGTCTCATTCGGAAGCATGAACACCCATGGGAAGGACTCAATCACGTAGCGGCAGAGTCCATACAGCTCGCAATCCACCAATACCTCGTCAACCTTTCCGGTCCTGTGAGGAATGCCTCTCACCATGAGAATGAACAACACAACTTGGTTGACAAAGCGCTGAGGTTATAGATTAGTAGCGGAACAACAACAACAACAACAACAACAACAACAACAACAAAGCGGTTGAAACGTGAAGAACATGGAATTAGAATGGTATCAGCTATACGGAAATCAATCTGATGTTATCTCTATAGACACCGTTGTTGAGGTTGATCTTGAGCGGCAAGTTCAACAACTTGAGTAGCGTGTCATCTGTCATTCCAACCATTGCAAGATGGCATGGCACGTCTGTCTCAAGACACGGCAAAAGTCTCCATAACGAGACTTGTGGGTTGTGCTGTTGGAACTTCAGCGCTAAGCTCTTAAACGCCCTATTCATTTCCTCTGTGGAGCCCATTTCTTCTTGGCCTCAGTACGGACTTGCTTCTCCAGCGCTACCGCACAGTTTATTTGTTGTGATTTCTCAGCTCGCACTCCATCAAATATGCTGAGGCCATATCAACAGCAGACATAATTGGACAAGCTCAATCGCTACTGGCACATCCTCTGCAACCACAGTTTACGCACTCTTTGAACTTGATGTTCTCATTCTTCTCTAGCGTGGCCTTTGGAACACGACAGATACAGGTCCCACCGTTGTTGTTCTCTGAGCCTTGGATGCACTTGATACAACACAGGTTCTCGTAACCCTGTTTCTTCCATTTGGCGATGAGGTTGGCATCGCAGTACCTGTGCTTCAGTAACCAATCGTACAGCTCCTTGGAGATGGCCTTCTTCTTGTAGTACAACTCGTACACGTACCTTGACTTCTGGTGCGTGATACGGAATATTTCCCACAGCGACTCACTCTTTCGTCCTGTTTTCGATAGCGCAGTGGCCTGAGCATCCTTGAGCTTGTCCTCGAAGGAATTCAACGTGGGTTCAATGTTGTGGAACCCGTCTGGAGCTTTCTTTGCTCGCGATGTTCTTGGTCTGACCATCTGTGTTTAGATTCCGAGATCTCTGTGGCAATAAGCAAATTAATAGAATACCGCGAGAGGAATCTCAAGGAGTTGATGGCTTATTGTAGAAGATTTGCCTCGAAACATCGTCACCGTCATCGCCATCTCTGCTTAAGCTGTGAAAGGAAGAGAAAAAATCGCTGTGCAAACGCTGTGGCGGGCGATGAGATTACGTAAGCTTTGTGATGGCTGTTTATATAATCAATTTTGAAAAAAAAATCTCGACAGCAGCAGGATTCGAACCTGCGCGGGCAGAGCCCAGTAGATGGCTTGAAATGAATTCGAGTCTCCCGCCTTAACCACTCGGCCATACTGTCGTAAATCCATGTTTGTGGAGTTATACGGGCGTGTAGCTTCATAGAGCCTGATACTTGGTTGGGCCACATAATTAGTCGTATTGGATAGTCTCTTATGCTACAATATTCAATTGAGCATTGAAGATGGTGAGTTCCTTAGGTACCATCCGATGTAACTAGAGATAATGTGAATATAGATCAGAGTTAAGTTAAAGTGTTAACGAAAATGCTATATTTTCTCAATACAGCGTCATGGTGTTAGTGTAATATGAATAACTCAAAAAAGGTAGGTTCATTATCTATCAAAAATATTAGAAGGACAGTAATAAAAATAGCAAACCCCATTTCAAATTTCTCCAAATTGTACCACAATGTAGCTCTTATCCGAATTAAGAGATATATACAGCATGATCATGTTACCTTCAATATTTTCTGAGATATAACCATTCATGGTTTGTATGGTATAATCAAGAAAAACACATAGATTTGCTTATATATCAACAACGAAACAAAATTTGGGAAGCCTGGAACCGTCATACCGTAGCAATGATCTATATTGTCATATATACTGACTTTCAACTGGATTATATCAGTGGTTTTTCCAAAATGATCCACACCATATGTGTTCTTATATATAATTCTGGCTCATCGTTACCCTAGCAATCGAAAAAATGTAAGGATGTTTCCAATTCTAATAGGCATTGTTTACATTTTGAATTCTTATCAACACAAAAATGACACAAAACCAATACAGCTTTATACACAACGTTTAAAACATCACAACACAATGGACTCATAAACAAAAGATTCAACAAGGGAAGAAAAGAGACTGGAGAACAACCAGAGAAACCCCAAAGAACTCTCATTGGAACCTTCCAACGACGTCCTCAACCTGAAGAAGAAACATCAGCGACTAATCCAGAACCACAGCGGTAACTTCAAACGAAGGAAGTACGACACAACAAGAAGACCCACTAGTTATTGAGACGGACTAATTGACCTGTTATGAGAACAAGATACGGAGCCAAGGAACCTTCAAGTTTTGTCACAGAATACCCCTGCAGAGATTATAGACTTGCCACAACAGCCGCCCATACCTGAACCTGAACCTGAACTTGATAATGGAACTATGGCTGATAAAATAAGAGATAGGCGAAGAAATGCAGCATAAATAGCAGAGAGAGCGTCGGAAGAAATTAGACGTGATGGCGCTTTTGATTACGGTCCCAACTTTGAATAGATCATTGAAGATAACACCAACGGTTTTAATGAGAATGATGATCCAGTTTATGACGAACAACAATAGCAGAGACCACGGAGACCGCAGAACTCAGTTTGTAATCCAGGTGACCTTGAATAGTGTTGTGATTATTGTCAAGCTCTCCTTATCAATACTGAATTACCATCTTTTTGTTGCGACACGGACAAAAGTTTTACTCGGTGAGATTTTCAAAGAACCTTCAAAGTACATGAAGGACATCTTATTGGATCCAATCACGTCCAGATACTCTCGAACAATCAATACAATGCTTTCAATATCGTACTTGGGTTCAAAGAGTACTGGCGATTCAAGAGGTGGAACTTATTCAATGACCATCTATAGGCGTTTATTCCATAGAGCTGATGGTATGATAGCTCAAGAAAATGGTCAAGAGAAGTCTGCAGAAAATTATACACTAGATCCAGGATTAACTACAAATGATCACCTTGAATTGCTTAAAGATGTTCTTCAAAACGATGAAGAATATAATAAACTTGAGGACTACATTAGCAAGATTGGTGACTTTCTATCTCAACACAATCGTTATGTGCAGCTGTTATATACCGCTAGAGAGATTGTTCAACAGGAGATTACAGAGATGGGATTAACAATAGAAGAGACTATTGTTGAATTTGCCAATGTTGAGCCAACAACACCCACAAATTCAGAAGATCGTACTTCTCTATTACCAGAGGTTAAAGAGTTTGCCTTGGTACGCAGAAGCAATAACAGCAGAACATGCTTCAATTTTAGTGTAGAGGAGAGGTCGACAGGTCGTTTCACTTTTATCGACAGTCTGTGCAAGAGTGTTCTTTGATCTTTGAGATGCCCTCTTTTAATAAATAAAGGACGAGGCAAATCTTTTCCATACTAACGGTACTCAGGTTAGCATCATTCTGACATATCCACACCATATACACGCTTGCGATGACATATACGAAATCTTACGCTACAGTTTTAGAAGACTCCTTAGGCGTTGATTTCGTTAGTTTCAAAATCAGACTATCAACGAAGGACCAGGCATTAAAGTCAATACCAGACGGGCCGCGCAGCACCAGTTGATGGCGAAGGTAAATCTCGAATCACCGTACCAAGACACTACAGATCAACTTGTATAGAGCCTACGAGTCTTTGCAATTACCCGATAGAAGAGTTAAAGAACATATTGAAATAAAATAACCAAAGAAGCCTTTGTAATAGCACAACAACTCATGAAAAGTCGACATCACCATCGCTTCAACGAGTCAAGTTTAAAAAGACAACCAAAAAAATAAAAATAACAGACAAAACAAACCCAAAATCCATAAAATTACAACCCCCCCAAAGCAACACATAGTTAGTGATCATCGTCATTATCGTCATCCGTAGAAGATCCATCTTTCTCAACCAGAGAGTCCAGCCTGTTTTCATGGCAACTATCCACAGCTCTTTGCACAACAGAACAGATATCCACACCGAATAAGTCATAGGTTCCAGAATTCTCTTGGAACAATTGTCTTCTCGGCTGCTTTTCTGGTGAGCCAAAAAGCGTTTCATGGTATGACCCTTCTCCATTTCTCGGAACTGACGGTGAAGTGTAGAAATCATCCATCACTGAAGGTGAAGGCCAGAATTTTTTCAAAATGCTGTTGGTATTGCCATTTGGGGTACGTGTCTTTGCAGTTGGAGTACGTAAGAATTGCAAAAGATGGGAATTAGCACTCATGATGCCACTAGGGAGATTCTGACTGTTCGAATTTGCATTTCGTAGAGGTGTTCTCACTGACGATTGCGATGATTGAACGTTGAGAGCAGTAGCAAACGATGCTACACGTGATCCTGGCGTCAAAGGCTCTAATAGCGGACCAGTTTCCTGTCTTCTCAGTGGAGATAGCTCATAATTGGTGTTACAGCTGAAAGACGAAGTCAAGGGTAAATTTGGCTTCAATTGTTCAGGCGAATCAGGTTTCACCTGACCAAATATGATACGTTCCCCAAGAGCGGATGCTGCCCAGCTAGTCTCAGGTGCCTCTAATTGTGGAATATTTGTCAATTGCCCATTTCCTGTAGATACTGCCTTTAGTTGTTGTTTCTTTCTTGGAATTAGTGAGTCGTTGGTAGAGACATCCACTTCATCCGCATCCGTTACAACAACCTTTGGCAAAGCAAACCTTTGGAGACCAATGGCCGAGTTCGATTTTCTGAGAGGAGTTCTGTCCAGGTAACCAAACTGAGTATCGGTTGATCTGATCTGTGCCTTTGGCGTCTGGGTATTTGAGGGCTCATGTTCATCCTCTGAATTGTCACTTTCAGAAGTTGAAGGACTTCTTGCTGGAGGATTCAAAGAGAGCGACTTTGAAGCACTAAGAGGAGCTGGTTTCAACTGTCTTGGTGGAGGAACAGGTTGTATGACAGTTTGTACTTTCTTTCCATGTTTATTTCTGTAAAACTGCATCTCATGACCTTTCACAATTTCCCAATAGTGACCTTTCCCATCGATTGATTTATCGGTTTTGATGAACGCCTTGTTCAACGAGAGATTGTGTCTGATGGAGTTTTGCCAGCCAACGTCCTCCATCTTGTAATACTTAAAAGTCGATGAGATCCAATGGTAAATCTGCGAAAGCGTCAGCTTACGATTCTTGCCTCTCAAGATAGCCATGCCTATTAAGACGGCGTACGAATACGGTGGCTTTTGAGGAGAGTCGCAAATGATCTTTGGCATCTTTGAAGGCGAAGGAAGCTCCACTTCCTCAAGCTGTTGTTCCTGTTGAGGATACTGCTCCTGTTCTTGCTGCTGGGCGGAACGTTGTTCCCTGACCTGTCTCTTCAGAGGCTTTGAAGATTGGACAAAGGAAGGTTGCGGTGGCTTCGAGACCTTTCTAGCAGAAGCAACAACCTTTTCCGGCTGAAAGTTGGAAGGTGAAGAGTACTGTGGTGAGAGTGGATCCTTTGCCGATCTCTTTGGCCGTCCTTGAGTAACAGTTGGAGTGTCCTGGACTTTGTTCTTCTTCAACCGCCCGCCAGATTCCGCTCTAGAGACAGTATGTGGAGGAGTGGTGAGCGGTTGTACAACGTCGACCGACGTGGCGCTTGAGCGCTTAGATCTAGCACCACTCATCTGCTTAGAGCTCTGTAGCGCTACTTCAGTGGTGTTCTCTATTGAGTGCGTGTCTCTCTGCAACGAAACCGCCTCCTTTGTCTGCACAGGAGTCACAGTATTGATCTGTATTGAATGGTCTGTTTTCGCCTCCACTGGCGTCCTCTTTGGTCTCAGCGGCTCTATAACAGGGATCGTGGAATACTCTGCCAGGGGCGAGCGTTGTTCTTGATGTTGATGGTGGCCCGAAGGAGGTGGCGGAAGATGAACAGAAGTCAATGATTTAATCAGGTTTGTGTTGAGGTCTTCACCTGGAGACATCGTCCTTGTTCCCTTTCTCTGCTTTCTCTCTCTCTGCTGTTTCAAGCTCGTTCCTTCCGGGTACGCTGGGCTCTAGCACAACGCAAAAAGCACACACGGATACACACCAGGGTTAATATGGGTCTATAGCGCTTTGCAAAGCACACACACACACACACACACACAGAGCTTTTGATATGGTGGACCTCCTTCTTTGTAGGAGAAAACGGCGTGACTGAACTCGTGTATAAATGAATGAATCGTACACTTCCTCCGCTTGTCTCAGTTCCTCCCCGTGTGAATTGAATTACGAAACCGCTCAAAACACCGAATGCCTTCAAGTGTATAACGGAAAGGTTGGTGAAAAGCGTCTGCTCTCAGTTTTTGAACACGGGTTTTGTGAGATGGGGTTCTGTTCCTTCTTCACTACCTTTTTTTTGCTTTGCTGTAGCACTTCCCGTACGTGAAACAGCAGAAACGCGCTCTTAAACCTTTTCCCTTCCCTTTTAGCCCTTTTTTTTGCTGCATGATTACCTAAGAAATGTAAACAGACGCGCGACGCGCTCCACGTGAAATTTGAAATTCGGGTTTCCGGTTTTGGCTGTGGGCCACCTCTTTCTGAAGAGCAACGCGTGATAGTGGCGGCGGTGTGCGGATGGGGACAGCGGTGTGCGGATGGAGACAGCGGGAGCGATCAGAGATAAGGAGCCTGAGGCCAGTGAGACGGGTGGCAGGGAGCAATTGCTCTGTGGATCGATGGCTCGTCTTGTTCATGCGTCGCATGCTATGTTGTATGTCTTAGGTGTGCAAATGTGCTACTCTGCTTTGCGGGTGTTGCTACAATTCCACGTATGGCGTAGGCGTGGACCATGGCTCTCTCTCTCGTTCACGCTCTAAGCGTCGGCAAAGGTGTATGCCCTCTCGGTTCTTCCAAGGCTCCCGGGGTTGAGCGTTGGCGGGGCCCTTGCTCAGCAGCGAGGGTGCCATCTCTCATGCCGTCGTGGCACTTGTAGACCGATGCCGATATCTTGAAAATCCGCCTGCCCTACCAGGGTGCACGTCAGTACAAGGACATTAGTCCTTGTCTTTGCCGGGCTTAGATTTCGAGCGTGCGTGTTCCATGGCTTCTCTTGCATGGCACTGTCTCAGAACGGCCTTCTACAGATTGAGCAATTGGTGAGGGTACCGCTAATAGTCTTCAGTAAACAAACGTATCCTCTGAATCGTAAACGCATCTCACTTCACCACTGTCCACAGTGAAGTAGATGCCTGTTAACACGACGGTGTTGAGTTTTGGACAATTCTTCACCAAGAACTTCACAGAGTCCAGCATGAAATGCGATACACAGATTGCCAGAGGCTCGAAGAGGATCTTGTTGAAATCGCACTCCTTAACGTCGTTGAAACATGAAATGTGCTGGAACCCATGGAAGTCCCAATATGTGACAGTTGGAGGTGTTGATAGCGCATTCAAGTCGTATTGGTTTTGCATTCTGTGACAGAGTTCCCACCCAAACAGTCCAAATAACCTGGGAGAGATCATATCTTTAAAATCGCCATCGTCTGTGTCGAAATAGGCATGGTCTTGTAGATACTTGTCGTAAAGAGGCAGGAACTTTGAGCAGAATGCACATTCACATCCGTTCCACAAGAGGTCCGAGGGCAAGATCTCATAGCAGGCACAGCTCTGTAAGAAGGTTGGACATATGAACACCTCTAGATCCTTTAAATGGGGAACAATGTTTTCGTACAGTTTCCGTCTTCTTAAGTAGTTTCCTTCAAGAGCATTCAGGAGCTTACCGTCCAATGGTGGATTATGGCGTACAGATAGGTATCTAATCTTTGACGGGATGTTCAAAAGAAACCTACCAACGTCCACATCCCACTCTTCAGTTAGATAGTGGTCCTTCTGGAAGGTGTACTCCTGGAATGATACCTTCTCTAGACTTGTCAGTTTTGGTGCGATGTCATCCAGAAAGGTCCTCAGACAAGCGCATCCTTCTTCTTGACACCCAACAGTCATTTCTAACTCTTTCAGGCTCGACAGTTCAATACAATTGTCGATGAATTCCGAGGTCAGTTCCCTCAAGGCGGTGTTATAATCGTTCACACCGTGTGTATGGTCGAATACAAGTCTGTTCAAGTTCAGCTTTGCCATTCCAGCATCTGAAAGTCGCTTGAAGAGCCTTAAACTTGCAAATTCTTCATCCACCACGATCAACTCTTTCAGAGATGCCAGCTTATCCAGTGGTGGCAGATTCAAAGCCTCAGAGTACTTATGTAGTTTCAACGTCAATGACTCGAGCGGTTGTAGTCCTGCAATCTCACCGAGGTCATCTGTAATACAGTTTTTCATGGATGGCGTGTTAAAGGCCTTAACTCTTTCATCAAACACGTTCAGTTTCTCAATATTTGGACAGCATTTCTTCAGAGCATCGATTACACTACCCAGACATTCAGCGTCACCGTCTTCTGTGAACACGGCGTCATATATCGTGAATTCACGTACGTAGTGGCCGTACTTCGCCAGGCTCTCCACAAGCACCGCACATTTCAGATAGATGAGGTAGTCGTTCTGGTCCTCACGCTTAAACATCGAGCTCAGCCCACTGACCTCTGTTCTCAGCGACTCAACAAACCAGCCATCATCATGGAGATTCGGGTTCCTCCTCACATAGATCTTCCTGTACAGCTTTCTCATACACGGCTCAAGGAACTTCTTCTGAGAACATGCTAAGGCGATCACATCGCTTTGTGGTAGAAAGGATATGATCCTGTCCACGACATCACAGGGCAGAGACAACATCACTCCACTCTTAGTACTTAATACTGCTCTTCAGCACACTGACAGAGGGAACACGAGAGCGTACCGGGTGTAATCTGCCATCAGCTCATCATCACCAAAATGGCCTCGAGGATGGCTTCCCCAACAATAGTGGCCCTACCGAAAATAATGATGGGTGATTACGTAAGCTTTTACTTCTCCCTCTCTCACAACTTCACCAGCCTCCAAAAGTAAACAATAGGCACGATTTAAGTAGAAGAGCGGCAGCTTTCACACCATCGAAGAGCGATCATGAGACAGTTCCTATGGCCAATACAGCGACAGCTGTTCTCCACAGCACGCAGCGCTCACGTAAGGGCCAATAAGCTGCCACCAAGGCCGAAGATCAACGAGGATGAAATAACCGAAGTGTTTCTCAAAGGTGGTAGTGGGCCTGGTGGGCAGAAGATCAACAAGACCAACTCAAAGGTACAGCTGAAGCATCTGCCAACTGGGATTGTTGTAGAGTGCCAAGCTACAAGATCAAGGGAGCAGAATCGTAAGAAAGCTAGAGAAATACTGGCCATGAAGGTTCAACATTTGCACGATCCTGAGAATAGCAGGACAAGCATATTGGAACAGAGAAGGATGAACCAAGCACGGACAAAGCAGAAGAAGACCAAGAAGAAACATTCTACTCTGGCTGAGGAGAATGCGCAGAGGAAACTACAGCAAGAACAGGAGGAGCTGGAATTCCTGGCGTCACTAGTGAAGCAGAAGGAATAGGCTGGGCTTACAAGGTGGGCTAGTATCTGTAAAATGTAATTTAACTAACGGAGCTTTATGAAGAAGAAATGGGATTAAGTGACGGGAACAGTAGTGTCATGGACTAGGATGGTCTTCTCCATACCGGTGTTTGCTCTAGAGAAAGATACATAACGGTCGAATGGGTTCTTTCTCTCCAAATCGTACTCTGGGTTATGCGAGTGTTCTACCTTGAAGTACAGTCTCTTGAAGAACTTGTAAAGCTCACATCCAGCCCAGAAAGCAGCAGTATAAGCAAAGGCAACACCCCATTCCTTACCGATAGACCCGTGTAAGAACACTTTGTCATTGATGACTGGGATATAAACAACAGGGAAACAAGAGAGGAATGCTCCGATGACTGACCAGAACAAGAACTGGTTACCCCAAAGATCCTTGAAAACCTGCGTGTATGGTGTGTCAGTATCTGGCTTCATGGCAAATAGCGAACGTCTCATATCAATGACTTCCCAGGCCAAGATCAAAGCTCCCCATGTCATGGTAGCAAATGCACACGAACGAGCACGGAACACCCATCTACAGACATCGCTAGGACCGTTGTTACAGTCATAGCCGAACTGGGCATCGCCAAAGCCATACATAACAGTGGTGAACGAAGCCAAACAAGCAATCGTCAGAATGACACCATAGATGAACAAATCGATAAGCATTTCCCAGGAAAAGACAGACTCATTAGAGGGTTTCGGGTCTTTCTCCATAACGTCTGGTTGAGCAGCTTCAACACCCAAGCCCATGGCAGGGAAACATGACGTAACAACAATGATCCATAACACTTCAACAGGAGACAACGGGAAAACAGACACATCGTTATCATCTTTGAAGACCAGACCAATCATCAAGAACAAAGCTTGACAGACGTTTTCAGCCAGGAGTTGTAGCACAAACTTCTGAATGTTGTCGTTCATTCTTCTGCCTTCTTCTATTGCATTGATGATAGAGGCAAAGTTATCATCACTCAAAACAATATCAGAGGCATCTTTGGCAACATCTGAGCCGGAAATACCCATGGCAATGCCAACATCGGCCTTCTTCAAAGATGGAGAGTCGTTGACACCATCACCAGTCATAGCACAGAACTTGTTACGACGGTGCAATGCATCAATCATTCTGACCTTCGTCTTTGGAGAACAACGGGCGATAACCAATGGTAACACCGGCAATTTATCAACTGCTTCATCACTCAAGTCGTCAAATTGTTGAGCAGTCATGACCATAACGTCAACAATCTCCTGAGAGTAGTTGTATAGGTTGTGTGGTAAGATACCAACTTCTTGGGCAATCGCCTTTGCCGTACCAGGGTGATCACCAGTCAACATGTGGACATTGATACCAGCTCTGTGACATTTTTTGACAGCACCACGAGATTCCAGACGAGGGGGATCATAGATACCAACCAAACCCAGGAATGTCAGGTCAGACTCTACATTTTCACGGTTGGTGATGTCGAAAGAACCTGGAACGACCTTGTGAGCAAACGACAGGACACGTAAACCTTCAGATGACATGGCATTCATGTTATCCTCAATGACCTTAACATCTTTCTCAGTCAATGGTGTAAGATCTCCGTTGACATACCAGTTGACGCAGCTTCCAAGCACACGTTCGACAGCACCCTTTGTATAAATGAGCTTGTGATTCGGATCTGAGACTTTTGAGTATATAGCGGACATCTTTTTGACTGAGGAATCGAATGGGAATTCAGCAAGATGTTTGTAAGGCGCATCCTCACCTTCAGTGAACTGTTCACGAGCATAGTTGTTTCTGTGTGCAAAGACTTGAATTGCAATTTCCGTTGGATCACCATGTGCTTTCCAATCACCATGTTCATCTTGGAAAACAGTAGCAATGTTGGCCATCGTGGCTGTTTCCAACCACTTGTTGAATAGATCATTTGGCCTGAGATCCTGGTACGCCGAGCTCTTCTCATCCTGAGATTGGGATAGCTCATATGGAGACAACAACTGGAACTTAACCTCACCAATAGTTGGGTTGAAAGGCTCTTGAGAGTTAATAACTTGATAAGTACCAACAGAAGGGACCCAACATGACTTGACAATCATCTTTCCTTGAGTCAAAGTACCAGTTTTATCTGAACAAATGTCATTGATGGAACCTAGAGCCTCCAAAGAGTCCAACTTTCTCACAATGACATGCTTGTTGGACATAACCTTTGCACCAACAGACATGGTGATTGTTAAAACAACAATCAACGAGGATGGAATCATGGAGATAGCAACACAGATGGCATATATGGCAACTTCACTTGTCACAACAAACTTTTGAGAAGCCATCACGATGATGGCAAATACAACAGCAATCGCAAACAAAATCAGGGCCAGCTTGGATAACTTTCTGGACAATGGAGTACCCACAGTGGTGCCCAAGAAGGTTCCAATAGCATCTTTGGTGACATTCCACAGGTTTGTCATTGTCGAGGTATTTTCGTCACCTTTTAAGGATCTTTTGGTTCCTTTCAAAGATTGCGCAATCTCACCAATCTCAGTGCTGAGCCCTGTCTTAACGGCAATACCGGTTGCACGACCTTTAGTGACGATAGATGAAGAGAAGGCCATGTTGAGACGATCACCGACGCCAATCACGTCGTCGTAGACAACTGTCTGATCTTTAGCGACTGGTAAGGACTCACCGGTCAGCAGCGCTTCGTCAGTCTCAAAGTTCAAACATTCGACGATTCTAATATCCGCAGGAACGGTGTCTCCAACCTTGACCTGGACGATATCACCTGGGACAACGCATTTCGTCGCAATGGTGGTCAATTCACCATTCCTGTACACTCTAGCAGTTGGGGAGGACAAGGATTTCAACGAGTTCATGGTCTTTGAAGCCTTGTACTCCTGTTGGGAGCCGATGGCGACATTGATAAAGACAACGAAGGCAATGACACCACCCGAGATCCAATCCCTGACACCGAAGCAGATAACCATCGAGATGAAGAGCACCAGGATCATCGCATTGAAGGTCTGATGGATCACAATACTGGTGAGCGAGATCTTCTGGTCATCACCAAGAGTATTCTCACCAAACGCCGCCAGCATCTCCTCCGCTCTCTTCGTGGACAAGCCCTCTAACACGTTAGTGCTGAAGAGCTTCTCCACTTGGCTTACCGTCATACGGTAGTGCTCACAGTCTTGTGGCTGAGAGGCATACTCCCCTGCGGAAGCCTTGGACACCTCTTTTGATAGTGCAATCGTATTCCGCTTTAACGAATCATCCTCGGTCATACCCTCTAGTAGATCCTACCGAACAAAGACTAGATCACACTGTAGAAGTATTTAGATAGTAGAGCATTACGACTGAGTTATCCGATGGAATTTATCGAGCCCTCAAGGACTTTATATTGCCTTCTCCATCACTGAGCAATATACATAATGTGTCTCCAACCAACAAGCAAGGCAGCCGCCCAGAGCATGTACCTGTATGAGGGTGCTTAAACGCGCATAGCATACATTGAGCAAGCAGAAAAAATCCGTTGATTCCCTTTTCCCACTGTGAATTTTCAATATGCTTTGTAAGCAATTTGACAGGGCGTGGAGAATCGTGTGAGCCAGGATAACGACCGTTAATCTGGCTATGATGGGTTCATAGAACTGATATTTACAAACAGAACGACTGTAAGATTGTATTGTGGGAAAGAAATAGGCAAATGTTCACACTGGGAAAGACTAAGCCAGGGGATTAAAGACGATCCACGTGGATGAGGTTCAACGGCGTAGTTGAAGTCTTGGCTGGAAAAATCTTGTTTTGTAAAGTGCTGTGTTTTCTTAGTGTATGTGACTAGCCAAGTGTTTTTGGTGTTTAATATTTCGCCAATGAGTACGGGGTTGATGTTGTAAATGCAGCTCGTATGATATCGGGCACATGCCTGTTCAGGGATCTTTCGCCGCAATTGGCACGTTTTCCATTCATTTCATGCGCTTTTTGTTCTATTGGGCTGAGGAGAGCTTGAAGGATGTCATGGAATACGTTTGGCGAGTTCACTAATCGAAGATTCCAATTAATTGTGCAGGCATTGTTGTCCGGCATCACACGATACAGGAGTTTTGAAAAACCCTTTCTTTAACTGCTAGTTAGCCCTACTACGGACAGTTTATCGTAGAGTTGTTATTCCATCGCAAAAGTGCCGGGGAGGGGGCGCAGTACAAAGGTTGGGGTCGAAAGGTCAACTCTTGAACATAAACCACGATTAACTATTCCCATGCGTGCTAACTAGCTGATCTCACATTACGTGTAGAATAACCCAAACCACTCAGATCTGTTGCATATTCGATGTATTCATCTAGAACCATTAAAGATTGGCATTTAAATTCACAAATCAAGGTACGACAACGTTGACGAGTGTCAACTACAAATCTCCGGTCTACACTGAGGTGAAAATGAGCAGACACCAACCTCTTGACTCCTATTCCATCCCACTGAGTCCAGTGAGTGGTCCCCGATATTAGGGCTATTGGTCTATGCCTGAATTGTGATCTGACCTTTCTACCGTAGACCTTCAAGTCATCGACACACTTTGCCCGTGAGTTAAAGTTTTGCTGCAGTATGCAACATGCCATTGGTGTGCATGGATTTGATTTTTGGTTGCAATATGCAGCCATTTTCCCCTGCTTTGAGCCGGGTAACTATTTTAAGAATCCATTACATAATGTCTTAGTAAGCTTACGTAAGACAGAATCCGAGAACGTTGAACGAGACAGCGCATCACACACAAGCAGGTTGTGTATAAAGCATAGAGCGAAAGAGAGTAAGCAAACGACTAAAGCATTTAAACGCAGATGTACTCGAGGAATGAGATCTTGGTTGTTGCGGGATCAGTCGTTCTACGAAGCGCAATCTCGCTTTGCCTGCCTGGTGTGTCAAAGACGCTGCAGTCATCGATACAACTCTCAACCTTGATGACCTCACACGCGTCGTTGTTGGAAGGTATATACCTACAAGAGCTTGGATTAGATCCATATGACGGAGGCTTGGTACATCAGGCGCCACTGCTGGTCTCGTTGATGTCACAACTACAGGGCACATACGATCTGCTGTACCCGCTAATTGATGCGTACATCGTCATCACACTGATCAAGCTTGCCAAAGCCAAAAACTTAAAGCTGGCACCTTGGATTGTCGGTGCCAGCTATGCCTTCAACCCTATAGCTGTGCTAGCTAACCAGGCCAAGTCCAGCATGATCTTTACGAACGCCTCCATTGTCAGTGCCCTGTACTATGCAGTTGAAGGCTACGCTTCCCTAAGTGCTCTATGGATTGCAATTGCCTCGTATCTGAGTTATACCCCAGTTTTCCTCATCATTCCATTGACAAAGGTTGTGGCTAGAGCCGGGAATGTACTGAACTTCATCTCCGTGTTGATATTGTCTGTGGGGCTGCTCATCGGTGCAAGTTACCAAATAACCGGAGATTGGAAGTTTTTAAACTCCACTTATATGACGGTGATTTCATTCTCTAAGATTGCTCCAAATATGGGACTGTGGTGGTATTTCTTCACTGAGATGTTTGAGTTCTTCATCCCATTCTACACAATGGTATTTTCACTGTACAACGTTGCATTTGTCGTACCAATAGCGTTGAAAATAGAAGGCCTGTTTGCCTTTGTGATGACCATTGGATGGCTGAACTTCAGCAAACCGTACCCTGAACTGACAGACTTGCCGGTATACCTCTCGCTGCTGTTGATTTTGGAGCCGTGCTTTCCTTATCTGGGTTACGTGCTGCTCTCTGCCCTCCTGTTCCTCCATTCGATCATCCTTGCCCCAATCTTCTACCACCTGTGGATCGACTTGGGATCTGGCAATTCCAACTTCTTCTACGCAATCACACTCGCATACTCCTTGGCCATGGCAACCACCATTGGTGATTTCCTGTGGGCCTATGTCCAAATGTCCTACCACGATGAGCATCCAGAGGAGAAGAACGTCAAGCTATCGCAGCTGTGAGGTTCTTTTATATGGGGACATATTGAACCGCACTATATAACAGCCTTGATGGAACCACTGGTGTTCCACAATACAACTCAGTAAGCTATTTATAGTAGAGGCGATGGGCTCAGCAGGCTCATTAGGTTCATTAGATTCATTAGACTCATTAGGCTAGCATGGGCTCAGTAGGCTCGCATGGGCTCAACAGGCTAGCGTAGGCTCATTAGGCTCAACAGGATAGCGTAGGCTCATTAGGCTCAGCAGGCTCAGCAGGCTCGGCAGGATCAGTAGGCTCAGTAGGCTCAGTAGGCTCAGCAGGCCCAGCAGGCTCATTAGGCTCAGCAGGCCCAGCAGGCTCAGCAGGCTCAGCAGGCTCAACAAGCTCAGCAGGCTCAACAAGCTCAGCAGGCCCAGCAGGCTAGCGTAGGCTCATTAGGCTCAACAAGCTCAGCAGGCCCAGCCGGCTCATTAGGCTCAGCAGGCCCAGCCGGCTCATTAGGCTCAGCAGGCCCAGCCGGCTCAGCAGGCCCAGCAGGCTAGCGTAGGCTCATTAGGCTCAACAAGCTCAACAAGCTCAGCAGGCTCAGCAGGCCCACCAGGCTCATTAGGCCCAGCACGCCCACCCAGCCCACCGCCCGTCGTGGCCGAGGCGTGCCTGCACCAAGTTCTAAGCGAAATACCGAAGCTGCGTTCCAAATCCTAATGAGCAGCACTTGCGGCCGGCTTTTTGTATCAGGGGAAAAAGCGTTGGAGTTGATGCGGGCCCAGGCAACGCCCAGTGGAATATTAACAAACGGCCAAGCTCCACTAGCGCAAAAGATGGGTGAATCCGTACTGAAAAGCGTTGAAACGTCGGCCTATTCGCTGAGCGTCGTTCTGAAGGACCCCAGACCGCTTTTATACCACCCACAGCGCCAGTTTTACACTTACAACGACTGTGTGGAGGGCCAAGTGCTGCTTGAGGTGACCAAGGATGTGGCTGTTAAGAACATCCAGGTGAAGGTGTGCGGGATGTCGCAGTGCACTGTAGCACGGGAGAGCAGATACTACGATGGCAATCAGTGGAGGACCGAGAAGGAGACTGATACGGTGAACCATGAGGTGCTGTATGACGTTGAGACGGTGTTCCCGCCGCATAACGTTGTTGATGTTGCTGTTGCGGACAAGTTCACGCTGACGAAGGGGAAGTACCAGTATGGGTTCTCCCTCAGAATCCCGACACTGGCGCACTGTGGCGATGAGGATACGAGATTGCACTCGAACAGGTTCACCTCGTCGTATGAGCGCCCTGACGATGAAGGTAAACATTGGACTGACCGCTCGCTACGCCACTTACAGGCACCTTTACCGCCTAACTTCAGTGCCGGCTGGGGGAACGGGGATCATGCTCTAATAACGTACCAGCTGAAGGTGTCCGTTCATAGAGCGGGCATGTTTGCATCCACTGGTCGGCTTGTTGTGCCGATTGATATCAGGCCGCCGGGCCCACCTTTGGATCATTACATTTCAAGAATAGCGCTTTCAAGGTTCTCCCAGACAAAGCTGATTGATACTATATACCAGGGAGAACAGGCCCTTTCAAAGAGACAAAGAATGAAGGATTGGTTCCGTAATACAGAAAAGAGACCACCAACAAAGCTAAGGTTGAAACTCTTCACGAAACCTCTCATTGTGCCTTCAATGCACAACTTCCAGTTGTACCTGCTTACATCACACGCTCTTGGAGACTTTATGAAGGAGGTGCCAGTGATATTCCTGAGGTATTTAGAGATAACACTGGTTCAAAAAGTTGATCTTTGGGCGAGAACTTTCAACGATACGTTCTTTCACAACAATGTACTGGTGAAGTCCTCGGAGTCCAGGGAGATTCTCATGGTGGATGCTGTTTCAGTGAAAGATGAAGGCATGTTCAAATCACAAATTGACTTATCGCATCTGTTGAACGAGGTGAATCTTGAATCAATTCCACCTTCTTTCACAACGTGTAACATTGGAGTGACATATGATCTCAAAGTTATCATGAAGTTTAGCAGTTCATCAGATAGTTGGTTCTCTGATATCGAAAGCTTTGAAATGCTGGTTGGCGTGACAGTGGCCGGGCCTCTGGTGGAGGCTGGTGAACTCAGCTCTGAACCATTAGAGCTCGCTGAAGATGTGCCACAGGCACAGTTCATGGGAACAGTTAAAGAGCAGGGAGATGGTCTTATTCGCACAGGAACCAACTGTTCCAAGTGGTCAAGTGGTTATAACGAGAAGAATAAGAGTCCACCACCAGCGTATGAGGTTTGAAACGAGAGAGAGAGAGCTTCCATTGTATGGACATGCAGTGTAAGAACTAAAGATTGTGTAACGGGTAAATGGTCTGGACTGAATATGTATGCTGCAGTTAATAAGTTGGTTCTAACGGTCTATTCACTTGTGAGTGTAATAACTATACATTGTATTGTATAAGAGGATTACTATGGGATTCAAGCAGACTCATGTTAGCAACAATTGCGATTGAGACACTAGTCAAGGCTATGAATGCCTAATATCTTTACGGCGAATAAACTTGTCTTGTCAGAAATTCCAACCCACAACGTCAATGTGACTGTAGAACAACACCACGTGTATTCTAAGAGGGTTTTCCATTAAAATTTAGGGTAATTAACTGCGATGAAGTTAAGCCTTTTAAAATAGTCACCGTTAGCTCCCTTGAACAAGGGAACACACCATAAAAGCCTGGGCTTATGGTTATATAAAAGTGACGTAACCCATTCTCTGGGATGTACTAAACAAGAGATAAGAGACGTCTATAGTAAGACTTAAATACTCAGAACCTAATCAGCCTGGTTTATTGGTTAGTTATAACGACGTGTGGAGTCTTTTCTTTCTTCTAGGACCAATGGAATTGGAAAACACAATTTGCAAGCCAAATTATCTCTTAAGGGTGGTTTTGAAACAAAATAGGCCATTGAGTGACTCTCCAAAGAGAGGCCTCTACACATATGGCGAAACTATTCAAGGTAAGCTAATCCTTACAACATTTGGTATGGTTTCTGTTAGGTGTCTTCAGGTTGAGTTGCAAGAGGCATCGCAGCACTCAGGTTCAGCATCTCAAGCGGAATCACAGCTCAAATCAGAAGAAGACTCCATTACACACCTAAATCTGGACGCCGACATACCAGCACATGAGTCCTTTAAAGAAGTTCAAACAGTGTTCCCGCTTGAAAACGATATCGAGAGTACAGCACTTGATGGTGACTATGAATTTGGATTTGCCTTGAAGATCCCAGATCTCATAAACTATGACAATAATGATATAGAGACGCCTTCAGATCAGCTCAGTTTCTATTCTGATTATCAGGTTTCTCCAATTTGTGAGGATGATGAGCAGCTTTTCCATCTACCGTTGGAGTTACTGTTACCATCAAATATCCAAGATGATGATTGTGAAGATGAGGATAATCTACAAGCGAAATATGAGCTTTGGGTGACATTAAGAGAAGACGAGTCCGAAGAGTATGGAGAAACATCAATACCAATTACAATCAGAGTACCGGGATTGTCTATGGAACACCATCTTTATGGACCGTGGCCTGTACAGACCTCCAAAGTTCAGAGTCTTAAAGTACCATTTGTAGAGCAGACAGATACAAAAGGTTGTAGCTGGATCCAGCGTGCTCTGAAGAAAAGGTGTCTAGATCTGAAATTGGTCTTTCATATCGAACCGGCTACTACCACATCGACAAAGAACTTCAAGCTTTTTCTACACACAACACAGGATCTTGATGAAGGAGCCAACGTACCATCGATCTATATGAGATCAAGTGACCTGCAATTGACCCAAAACATTGAATGCATACCCAAGGCTACAACTGAAGAGACGATATCAAGAAAGACATCTAGTTGGCACAGATCTTCACAGACCAGAGAGCTGGCCTGGAGCACTGCAGAGCCTCTGGCTAACGACGGGGTGTTCAAATCACGTTTTGATCTATCGTATTTATTGAGCAATATAGAAGTTGAAGAGCCGCAATCTTCATTTCACGTTCAGAGCACGTCACAGATCTATGAGTTATCTATAACATTGAAGTTCAGTGCTTCACCAGACAGCTGGATTGCAACGTCTAAGAAGTTACATATATGCACCGATGTTGTCCTTGGCTCCTGAAACAGAAGCCTGCTACGGAAGGGGAGCCCGCTAATGTACAAGGTCTCCACAACTTGTCATAGTATACGACTTTTGAGAACGGTTCATGCTGAAGGAATCGTAGGTTGCCATGATAAACAGAGGTT